TCTCTCAGACTTACGGGAAGAAATTCCTGGACGTATATGAATAATTTTTGAGTCACTTTGCCATCAAAATGGATCAGTGCTGCGGTATTTGTAGGATTAATTCTTTATCGTAGCGAAACATAAAGCTCAAAGTTCAGCTGAATTCAAAATGAATTTCATTCACTGAGAATGTGGGTAATTTTTTGTATGTATTTATTTGCGTGTACAAACCTGGCGCCGTTCCCTGACTGCATCTATCACACTCTGTTTCCCGCATTGGTGTCTGCATGTGATGAAACCGGAGCCTGCAAGTTAAAGGTTTGTCAAAAAATGCAAGATAAAAAAGGATTAATCTTCAGGTTGTCTTCGGGTTTTCCTTTCCAAGAATCGAGTAAGCTCAAAACTACAGAAAACTGTTCTAATTTATCTCGAATGAGTCGACTCCCTAATAAGACACGATTCCAACCATGCACAGTGATTCTACGATGATTGTTCACATTATAATATTAAGACAACAACCTTTGAATGCTAGGTTTTTATCACTGACCTCCACGAAGTGCTCGATATTGTCTAGAAATCGCTGCCGCTGGGTGTTGTTCAACTGTTCCATATTTAAAATAACTAAAACTAATAATAAAAAGTGATAATCAATTTAATTTCTCAGACTTACGGAGAGAAATTCCTGAACGTTCATGACTTGTTTATGGACAATTTTTCGGTCAAAATAGCTCACTACTGAAAACGGTTCTATTCTATCCTTGCTCCCTGGCGTGAGACCCAAGTTCTACACTGCCAGTCAGAAGCAGCAAAATAGAGTTATCATAGCGCAACGCTCACCATATCATTCTTGGCTGAGATATTTTAGCCATGATCTGTTGGCACTTAGGTAGTGATGGTTGGTGGCTCTTTTACATAGAAAATAGGGGGAGAAAATATGAGACACTTGTCCTACACTGCCAGTCAGAAGCACTAAAATGAGTTATTATGGCGCAACGCTCACCATATGGTTGACGATCATATTTTAGCCATGATCTATTGGCCCTCAGGTGCTGACTGGTTGCTCTACAGGCTCTTCAACATAGAGAATAGGGAGAGAAAATAAGTATGAGATGTGGATGCGATTTATTGAGAGCTGAAGAAAGGTGATGAGAGTTGCATGTTATATAGGAGTTGATGAGAATTGTTATGCGAGATAATGAGAGAGAATAAGATATAAGAGACAACTAACATCTTCCTTGCCCATCGCCATTACCTAAATAAAAATACTTTCGTACAACATCAACACACAAAATAAATCTCGTCGTAAAAACGTACCGGATTCTCTGCCGGCATTGCCATCAAAGTTGACTCTTCCCTTTCCTTCTGCGTCTTGAACAACAGGCTGATAAACAATTTCCCATTTCAAATATAGTGTGAAATCTCACTCTGAAAAATTTCACTGTTTCGTAACTGACTTTTTCAAGCAAAATGAGGCAATTAACTTGCGCAAGACAATAGGCAATTAGGTTGCGTAGGGCCTGTGACGTGTTAACAAGAGAAAATTTGCGCGCGCTTCTCCCCTCGTGATGCCAGCTTTTCACTTCGTGAATTTTTTGTTCAGGTACTGTAAAAAGGAAGTTCAGCAAAGTAGTTTTCCTGCAAGAATACTTTTCACAAACCGTATCGTTTCGCCAGCGGAAAGCACCAACAAAATTTCTGCATGTCTGGTCAAGTCGCACAAACAACTCGATATTTTCATTCATTTTATATCGTTTTCTAGTATCGGTTTGTTTTCTTTCAAACGATGCTTCGTCTCCAATAATGAATAGGATGAGTTTAGGTCTAAAAAGTTTACATTTTGGTGCTAGTTGGTATGGGTAAACCACTCAGTCCGGCAATCTAGAAATAATCTATTGGTTTGCAAAGCTTGTTAACGCAACTCACCAGATGGTACAAGTTCTCCAAAGCATTACGAAGGTTAATGAAGTTCACTTAGTTAATGATCTGGTCGATGCAGTGGCTGCTTCAATCTCTCCTTCCGTGGAAATTTACAATCAAAAGATCAAAGATGAAGTTTTGAGAGCAGAAGGAAGAAGTGAAGTTGAGTCCAAGTGAGACTCAACGAGATTAATGTTGAAATGAGTCTAATGAGTCAATGAGTTATGAGTCAATGAGTGATGAGTCATAAAATTTTGCTGCATTTTCCTAACCACAGTTTTGTAACTGCGGATGAAGATTTCGCCTGATTTGCATAAAATTTACCTTCGAATTTCTCGGCTACATTTTACATTATCGCCAAAATAACTCTTAAACAGGGTTAGATATATCTATTCCGGTTTGATAAGTACTATACAACATTCGCATCCGTGTTGTATCAGAGATAAAAACACTCGTCTTCGGCTCGGGTTTGTATCTACTGATACAACACGACCGTTCATGTTGTATATGGTACTTATTAAGCAGTTATTTAGGAGGGCATTTATCATTTTATGGCATTATAAAATTCGGGGATCAAAAATATCGGAATCAGTCGCAAATGTTCAAAAACGACTTACTGCGGTGACTGCATTGTTCTACCTTGTACATATGAACCCTTGAAATTGTATTAATACTGGATTATTATTGAAGAATACTTCTAACCAGACAAATGCAAATAAAGTTCATACAGACAATGAAAAGTTCAAAAATCTGTAATATAATATAAATCTTAAGGGTGGTTTGCAACACCGTACCAGTAACATACTACCCAACTGAAAATATGAAAATAACATCGTATAAAATTCGTAAACCGTGATCTACATAGTTATATGTATCATCGATTTTTCACTGAACTTATATATATTTACTGTACTCACGTCAAAGGACTTTACCGGGCTTTCTGTCAAATCAATCTATTGCAAGAGAAAAACGCATGTCAGTGGGAATACATGTAAAAAAAAATTGAATTAAAAATTGAATTAAAAATTGAATTAAAAATTGAATTAAAAATTGAATTCAAATTCAATTAAGATGAAAATATATTGTCATGAAAAATAATGCTTAGTCGCTTAATAGTGCGATTTATGGAAACAGGATTAATAATTATGTAAACTTTTGAGAGATTTTTCGAAGGAGAAATTTCGTTCATTTTCGTTCATCATGATTATACCATTTAAGATGAAGAGGCAAGCGCCGTGACTATAAATATACTGTTATAATACAGGATGGAAAAGGATTGAAAGATAAAAAAAAGACATTTCCAAAACACTCACCGTTTCCATATTTGCCGTGAATTAAGAATTCAAAACTGAATTTGCTTTGGGCGCCAGTGTTTCCACAACGAAAATATTGTTTTCTTTTCGTGATGTGAAATTCTCCAAATAATTTTCTTATTCTCTGAATTTTCCTTACAAAAATCTCTAATTTTTTTTCCGTTTTTCCTTGCATGCGGCCATTGACTCTATTTAAGTTTTTAAATATTTATTCCATTTAACGATACTCTTTACGAGAATTTAACGAAAATAAAAAAAATTTTTGAGCTGACTCATAACTCATTTACTCACAACTCGTATTCATTTGACTCACAAAACAGGCGTTCTCGATCGCGAGATCAACGATTGCCTTATTGGGGCTCCCTGGAGACGAAAGAAGTAAATATGTGGAAAAACAAGATTCCTCGTGGTCTGGTCAACTTTCATGAACCTTTGGAGTTTGGAGGTGTACCATCTAGGGAAATGTTCCATAAAGATTGCTGCTAACCCATTCGCTAGGAGTAAGTTACTGACTGCTTATCATGCATGGTAAATATGCCAATTAATGGACAGAGCAGAGATCAGTTCTAAAGCAGTTTAACTACACGAGTGAAAATCAATTTGTCCTATATCAAGAGCAGATGGAAATTCAATCCGTTGCAATAGCTTTGGCTGATAAATACAACACCATAAAGCCAGCTGGAATTTCCATCGTTTTCAGCCAGTTTATACTGCTTTTTCAGGAGAGACATGTACACAGCTCAGACAGTTTCGGCGAATAATTGTTATATAATTCACCTTGATTCTATTTAATTAATTAATTAATTTGATGGTCATGCATTTGATGGTCATTAATTTGATGGTCATGATAAGTGACTGAATTATATGGCGATCACATGTTGGCAAATTATCCGGCAGCATAAGACTTTGATTGAAAGGAAATCGGCGGTATTGTTGAGAGAGCGTACGGGAGAGCGAACTGTATAATTATAGACAAGAGTTATTCAGTCCGTAGAAATATATATACTCTTCATTCTGTTGTAAGTTGTATTTCGTATTTTGAATCCTTAATAATTAATATAATCTGTGTAATAATAGTCTAAACAGAGTCAAATCATATACAAAGTAGCGTGATCTACACACAATATTAACTGAAACTCTTGGAAAAATACGTTATAAAGACAGAAATTGGATCCCTAATTTTTTTTAGGTATTAGCAGATAAACCTGCAATAAATAGTGCTAAAAGGAGAAGAAAAGAAATAATGAAAGATTGGTGAAGTGCATAGAAATATAAAGTGGGTTAAAAATTGATGTAGTTTTAGGCTTTAGCTGTTGGCTTATAAAGATTCAATTTACCTTCAAATATGGCGGCCAAATTTCGTTCCAGTCTCCTTAGGCTTAAAGTTCACTATTTTGGAAAGACAAATCCTTTTTTGAAAACCTAAAAGGTCCTAAATAATTGACGTTTCACGTCCGATTGAAACTAATGTTTGCACGTGATTGCATGTTTGCATGCGATTCTGAAAGTCCTAAAATAACTGCATATTCTGTAGTAAAGCTAGATGAGCAAAGAACGGGCAGTTGTTGTGCTCAACTGGAAATATATTTTTCTGCAATATTGGTACACCTGAATATTTATGTCAATTCACATCATATTTCGGGAGTTTGTCTAATTTTAAAAATCTTTCTTACACTAAGGAAAAAATACATAGAAACCTCCGTAGATTCGAGATTTGAACATTAAAATCATATTTGCAAATCATATTTACACCAAATATAAAATGAAAAAATCCTTACACCAAATGCACATAATTTTTATTATCGAATGTTATCGCCCATGACATCGTCAAATGCTACTCTCATAAATTATAACGATGTATATCACGCGTGATATTTAGGATTTGGTTCCAACACTGCAACGGTAGACAGTGTACGAGCCCGTTTCTGGGTCGACGTCGTCGTGTTTCGAGAACCAGTATGTAGGTGGCTTGAGGTTCGTGGTGATTGGAAAGAGACTCGTTTATTTGTCTGGCGCCCAACACCTTGATTTTCACTGCTGATAGAGTTGGATGATCGACTTTGTAAACCCTGGATTCTCTAAAAAGGAGCAAAAAAATAGTCGAAGACGTCAATTTGAAATCATTAGTAGCTACCTTTAAATGATATTAACAACTCCCTGAGAAGGCTAGCTTCACTGGCACTTCCCCAGCAAAACTTTAGCCTATGATAGTTGGGCTCATATATTATTAGAAAGTAAAAAAATAAAATCCAATCCATTATTCCATACTGGATAGTTCACCAATAAATTCTACATCGAATTATATGTTGAGGTAAAAAAAGGTCATATAGGTTATATATCCCAAGAGTGATTTTTAATACCTGTGGCGCTTGGAATTTTCTTTTACCACCCCGAGATCCTCGATTATTCTTGAGAGTCTTTGATATAAAGAACTTGAAAAGATTTGATTTCATGAAGAAAGGGTTGTACACATCCTGGACAGGTAACTTAAAAAAGAGAAAGTAATTTTTAAACATGATAGAGCTAGTAGAGTTGTAAAAAAATATTAGGTGATATTAGTTATATTAGTATTAAAAAGTTATATTAGTAGTAACCCACCCTTCCTCAAAAACTAATGGTTTTAGTGATTAGAATTGTTTTTGAATGCATAATAACCCGACGAACATTCAAACCAACATACCCAACGCTACCCAATCCTAGTAAATTCCTAGATCATTATTGCTGCATCTACTTGTATCAGGCCCTTATTTTCTCTAGTTTCATGCACTTAAGAGAAATTTGTCCGATGAGATGAATGCAGGCGAGAAGAATATTTGAAATGTTGCATGCTTTTTATACAAGGCAACGAAGAAATATTATAATTTGCCATTTCTCGTAGCAGTTTTTTTCGTATTTGAAGTTGTTTTTTTTAATTGTTTTCCTCTTTTCCTTCTTATATTTCTTTTGTTGTTGTTTTTTCCCTAACTTTACTCTTTCTTGAAATATTTCCCCCCTAAATTTATTTTTAACTGTGCGGTTAACTATGTACATTTCTAAAAAAGGAAGCCATACTAGACGTTATTTAACCGAGGTTATTCTTTATAGCGCAAATAACTAAAATCAAAGTATGAGCGGTGCTTAAACATCCTCTCATCCTACCAGATCTAGACATCCTGCGATGACTTCAGTAGATTGTTGAGATGTCTTCTCAGAAAGTGAGGGGAAATTTGATGGTAGCATAAGCTCTTCCATTACAACAGGCTTGATTAGCAGAGTGGAGTTAGAAGACGCCATAACAAGATAGTGTGCTTGGGGAAAGATCTCGTTGTTTGCGTCGTCAGTTTCGGATTTCAAGATCAAAGACAATTCCTGGATAACAGGATACATTACGTAACAACATGCAGGATATTTGAGAAAAGTCGAAAAGCACACGAATTGTGTTAGCATATATATGATTTGAATATTTACCTTTTCATTTAAAACTTTGCATAACGAGTTAAAATCTTGTTGATTTGAGTCCAATTCATCCCAGTCAAGCTTCCAGCAACACGTTGGACGAACAAACATGGGCTGAAAGGTTACCAAAGCATAAAAATATTTTTGCGATGTATTTTACCGATATAATTAATGCACGACTTTCTAAATAATTAGTTCTCCATGTAGCTGAATGAAACGTGGAATGGAATGAAATGCGTGAATAATACCATGCGAAATCTAATTCGGACTCGAATACCAAAACGCGAAACTGTTTAATTCCCACGACAACATTTCAGCACATATATACCAAATAATTTCATATATTGGTTCTCAATTTGACCAAAATCTAAACGTTCGTCTCAAACGTCTAACTCCAGTTCGTGCATGATATAAAATCGATAACCGGGCTCTTACCATCCCGTAAAGCTTGATAGTTGCCAAAACATCAAAGATGAAACATAAAAGAAAGATAAAGCTATTTTAATCTGAAATTCAAGCAATATTATTACCAATATAAAACATAACTGAAATTGATTGATTGATTTGACGGTCCTAAAAATGAAATGACCAAGTCATGTAATCGTCAATTTGAGTGGTGATCAGTAAAAGATTTCTCAGTTGCGTGGTCGGGGTCGAGTTTGAATGTGGTCAGTGTAGTGTAATGCTGAATAGACTGTCTGTATACAAGTGGCTATATATAGGAGGGGCATGCATGGACGTATTGCATGGATATATCTTCAGGTTCAATTTCCAGAGTAATCTTTCGACCAGAAGTTATAGTAAGTAATCCTTATTCAGGTTTTGAAGAAAGGCATATTAGGTACTTACCACAGATTCGCACACACCACTTTTTTTCACGAGAGAAAATGCTCTTAGTCTGTAGACTTTATTCACAGATTGCGACATATTTACAGCTTTGTTGGATTCAGAATAACTCTTCAGGAAATTGTAATCACCTTTCAAGGTCTAAGGATCGACAACAACATAAAAAGACTTTTTGTGAGTCCCACAAAAATAATAATATATGCTACGTGTTATAGTAAGTGTCGCCTCCCCCCTTTCGTTATACATGGTAAATTTTCAAAAAAAAGTAACAAGATTTGCCACTTACAAAATATTCTCCGCACAAAAGGTTTAAAGGGTCGATCAAGGATTCATGTAGGTCACATTTCAATACCATTTCATTGCTATGCGCGCCAAAATTATTTTCCATTAGATCTAAGAGATATAGTTCGGCTTTTAGAAATCATATAGATCATAAGTTCAGTTAGCTACTTAACGGTTTCCGTGTCTGGACTGCTTGATTCAAACATTTGGGAATGTTGCTCGAGTTAAGAAAAGCTCACAAAATCACTCGCCTCCGACTCGTATTTAGCGCGCTTTTCTGAACTCTCGCAATATTCCTGCGTGTTTGGATCAGGCCATCCAGACACGGAAACCATTACGTAACTGTTTAATCACCATCTTAATCGTACATCAATCGGAGTCATTAAACATAGTTTAGTTGTAATACAGTATTTATTACTGCACCTAACTAATTTATTCATAGAACTATATATCAAGTAACGAGATTGTCTTTTAGTCACTGATGAACGATTTTGACACTGACAACAGTGGCCGTGACTGTACTGTTTCGAAACATCAAATGGTATTTTACTCAATTTTTGGCCTAAAACGCAGTAAGCAAGTCATTTTTCAAGATAACGCTTCAGAGCGAACACTATTCCTGCTAATGACGTAAAGCACTGGGCAACAATGTTCTTGCAAACGATTAGCCTATTATTTTCACCTTGTTAGAATGGTGTGCAAATCTTACAGCAATCAAACAGCTGGTTCGTGAACACAGCTTTAAATATACTAGCCTAATGCTCTTTAAAGCCCATCACTTACATACATATCATGAGCTCACAGAAGCCCACACTTATTTTACTTAAGGGCCTGAGCGCCTACGGACATAATGCATTTACACCTTAAGACCCATCTTATTACCCCCCCCCCCCTCTAGAATTCGACGTCATTAAACTCCTGTCGGAGACCGATTGGAGACTGATTAATATAATTGATCTTATATAGTTCATACTTGATGCTTGTACACTACGCAAATTTCTACCTATTAAAAAATCTCACCTGGTGAAGAGCTGATATTTGCAGGCAAAATGATATGAACAGCTTCACTGTCAGTACCACAATCTTTCAACCATGTTTTAAAATAATTCATCAGGCTAAGAACGTCTAGACAAAAGTATAGTATTGACTACATTAATACTGATATTCCATATTTTTCGGGAAATACACATGCAGTTGCGGAAGTTGTTAACCCTGACCGCAATAATCGTGCCAATTAACCTCGATTGAAGGTGTAAATCTAAGTAAGTGAATATTGGATGTGGAATAGTCGTGGAATGTGGAATCCTTGTATTATTGTTTTACACTTTTCCCTCTAGATGTTTTAACCCTCCATCCTTCATTATTTCTTATTAATCTAATCGATTAGACAAGTTATACAAAAACCTTACTATTTTCGATGTTAGCAATATCGACTATGTCAGACAACGTCTCGTTTGAATGATCTGACCCATCCCCTGTTTAAAAGGAAATATAAATTGAAGCTCTTTACTTTAGTTTTATTCTGCGTGTCTTAATAGCACACGCAGTGTCTTAATAACATGTGCATTCCATGGGCGTAGCTAGACCGCTTCCGATTTGGGGTGCATATTCATATTGTACACTTAATATCTGTGGCAATGTCTTGTAGGGATTATTTTATGAAATATTTACCTGGTGGTGAAATTGAACTGTTAAGTTCACTCTGAATACTTGCACTATTAGGAAGTCTTAGATTGAGCACTTGAACCTTCTAAAATCAATTGAAAATCCCTCTTAAAATTAAAAATATCTCTCCCAAACAAAACCATGGCAGAACGTATGCGTATTCCATACCTTTAAGCAGTTTAAATCTAATGTTTGAGACAATTTGTTGACTTGCAGGCTGAGAGAATGGCTGGGTTGACACGATAGTATTGATATCTCTAGTTGACATGACGAATTCTTCACCTGTTGGGATGCATTGGAATAAACTTGCATTACTATATTATTATTATAGGTAAGTGTAACTATGAGGTTCCCATGCTGTGGACAGAAAATTTGAGCTCCGTTTATACACTGCATGCACTGCATGAATTTATCGCCACGCCATGGCTAAAATGGGCACTCGTGGCTTAAACATTGTAAAACTTAAACATTAAGTGTAAACGGGGCTGAAATATTATACACCAAATGTATGCTCCCGAAAGAAATAGTTTGTTTTCCCAAGAGTCGGAAAACACTCAAACTCAAGGGAAAACAAAACTCACTATTTCCCGAGGAATTGTACATTAAGTGTTTTGTTATATAGGAACAAAAACATACATGTTACACAACAATTTCCTTGAAAAAGAACCCCACTTTACTTTGTTATGGCAAGAAATGGCCAACAATTTTTCACTTGCATTTATTTAAAGTCATGTGACTACGAATGAACCAATCACATTTAAAATTAACAGCACCTATATAACAATTATACACATACCTGCCTAAACGTCTGCTGTTGTCTTTGGTATTGCAAAATAATATTTTTAAATCCTTGAATCAAAGAGTCTGAAATTATGAAAACAAGGTCGATTTAATGAGACATAAACGAGAAAAACGAAGATTTACCAAGAGGAAATTTTACATTCGGTGAAACATTCAACAAGAATGGACCCCCCCATATAGTGGCAAAATCACGCGATGCGTGGATCCCACGCGGGACGTAGGGAACAGTCGGTTTTTACCGAAGGCATGCGCGGCCTCCACGCGAGATGACTTGCGCACAAGTGTGTTGTTGCAAGTTGCAACATAGCCAGTGCAAATGGTACACGTAGAATGACTTGCGTGGGAGGGCTGTGCGCTCACGCTATTTTAAGACATAATTAAATACAAACTAAGGATTTGCGAAAACAATTTTTATTGCTCAAATTACACACGTTACAACATTGAGAATGTTTCTTTCAATATCCTTAGGACTGTTCATTTTAAAATTTGATTCTTTAAATATTCTTTATATGCTTTCATTGCTTTGTGATGATTGTTGTCGTGTCTTATAAACTGTTCTCTTGTCGTTTTAACAGTGTACTTAAGGGTAGAAGGCGTGGTAAAAGAGACAACAAAACCTGACTCGAGCGGGTCATTTTGGTATGAACTTTCTTTCCAACGAGATAGCTGATTCAAGATACTTAGAACATTAGGGTCTTCTACATTTCCCAGGGACTCGATCAATATAGAATCTGGGTCTTCGGTTAGTTGTTTCCAATGTTCAAGTACATGTTTACTGTTCACTCCACTTGATCGAGGCCTAGGACTCTCGTTACTTCGATAAACGTACTCCGTTTCATGTTTGTATTGGTAACTTGCTCTATGGCTTCCAAGCTGTACAATTGCCATGTATCGGGACGGCACTGGCATATATTACTTCCAACAGTTGGAGTAACTTGTTTTGTTTGGTTAGTGATGCGTGGGTACATGCAAAGGGAAGTCGCTATACTGATTTGACTGATCTGGAAAGGGATCTTCTGTTTGAGAAGAAGATAGAAATTATGAGTCGTTTACTCCGGTGGGAAATGGAAAATGAGCGAGCATTTATTTTTCGTGCAATTACATACTGCAATAAATAATAATTTCTCCTTAATCGTTTTCAACTTTTGGCGTTTGTCTCCAAGGGCCGTAGCATGTTTTTTGTTTGTTTTGGCACACGTAGAATTTCTTCCCGCCTAAAACCGCGCATATGGAATAACTCAGCACTCCAAGCGATGTGTCTTTTCGGGTGCCCGCATTGAGTTATGTCAAAAGGGCGTTTGTCTTTGGGTATTTAGATACGTAGTTACAATGCATGTGATTTTGCAATGTATATGTTTACAAAACGCCACGCTTCAACTCATAGGGAGTGAGGCAATGGCTTCAAACGCTACCGTAGAAAGAGGAAATTAGAGGAAGACGCAAAAAATGCGCAGCTGGAGAGGCACCGCGAATTTTACCAATATGTGTTTGAAAACCATATTGAGATCGTGGTGAAATTTGATAGCAAACGGATAGTCAATGGTGAAGACCTGATTCTTAGATTCTATCTTCTTCTTTTCAAACAGAAGAAAGTCAAATTATAGCGACTTTGAAACGCCTTCCATCTTTCTGCGCTTGTGGAAAATCGTTCACGGTAGATCATGCCCTGTCGTGCCTGAAAGGAGGTTTTATCCATCGAAGACATAATGAGATCCGTGATCTACTTGCTGCTGCTATCGATGACGTTGCTTACGATGTTTCAATTGAACCTGCTCTTGCTCCTTTGACTGGCGAGGTTCTTCCATCCAGTGCTAACTCAGCCGATGACGCCAGAGTGGACATTGCTGCGAGAGGTTTCTGGCAGAGATGTGAAAAGGCATTTTTTGATGTAAGGGTGTTTAACCCATACGCCTCTACACATCGACGCCAGACGTTGAGCAGCTCGTTTAAAGCCAACGAACGGGAAAAAAAGCGACATTACAACCAACGGATTGTTGAGGTCGAGCATGGCTCCTTCACACCGGTCGTCTTCAGCGCCTTTGGCGGATGCGGAAGAGAGACGCAACATTTTCTTTCCTTCCTGGGTGCGAAGCTGGCTGACAAGAAGAATCATTCTCCATCTATGGTGGTTAGCTGGTTACGACGAAAGATCGCCTTTGCTTTGCTTAGAGCTCGCGTGGTGTGTGTTCGTGGCAGTCGAAGTTGGAGGACTGCGTCCATCACATCAACTAACGACATTACGTTGTCGGAATGGAACTCCAACATTAGCGAGTAGTCTAGTTAAGTTGTTTTTGTAAATAGTCTGTAGAACTATTATACTTAATTTTAATGCATGATTGATTATTGTAAATTTCCCTAGTACTAATAATGTGAATAAATTATAATAATTATAGCGACTTTCCTTTTGCATGCACCCACGCATCACTAACCAAACAAGTTACTCCATCTGTTGTAAGTAATATATGCCAGTGCCGTCCCGAAACATGGCAATTGTAAGCCATAGAAGCCATAGCGCAAGTTACCAATACAAACATGATATGGAGTACGTTTATCGAACTAATCGAAGTAATGAGAGTCCTAGGCCTCAAGTGGGCCGAATATGCACGTACTTTAACATTGGGAACAACTACCCGAATGTTCTAAGTATCTTGAACCAGCTATCTCGTTGGAAAGAAAATTCATACGAAAATGACCCACTCGAGTCAGGTTAATTTTGTTGTCTCTTTTACAAGTCACGAGAACAGTCATCACAAAGCATACAAAGAATATTAATTTTTAAAGAATCAACTTTTGAAATGAACAGTCCTAATGATATTGAAAGATTATTCTCAATGTTGTAGCATGTGTAATTTGAGTAATAAAATATTTTTCTCGCAAAACCTTAGTTTGTATTTAATTATGTCTTACAGCTCTCCCACGCAAGTCATTCCACGTGTACGATTTGCACTAGCTATCCATGTTATCTCGCCTGGAAGCCGCGCATACTTTCGGCAAAAACCGACAGTTCCCGAAGTCCCAGATCCACGCATCGCGTGATTTTGCCGCTATATGGGGAGAGGGGAGGGTAACCTACTCTGAAATTAGCCATATCATCCGAAAAAATAAGGCAATATCCAGGGCACTTGCATGTATGGTATTTGACATAAGCGTATTCCCACCTGGATCAAATACTGGCATCGGGGTGTCCATCGCTGATCTTTTGAATTCTGTTGTAACCATGTAAAGTCGAGAAAAATTTCCTTTGGTTGGTTGTAGAGGGAAAATAGTCTAACAGAAGAAAAGCGGACCGTCATAAACAAGCCTCAAAGAATAGGGTCTATTAGACACACTGCCTTCTCGTAATCTCAAATACAATCTCATATTAGTTGTAATAGGATGGAAAGGCCAACTAGCGAACGGATAGGGAGGCAGAGATTTAAATCGTGGAGATGCGGAAGATCATTTACTTGGGGGGGGATAATATTCATTAATCCATTTTCACTGACTTTAAAAAAATATTTTGAAAAGAAACTAATATTGCTGAACGTGAATATATATAGACCCCCCCCCCCTTCCTTAACATTCCATTCAGATGCTTAACTATTGTCTATTGCGTGTGCATAAATCACCCTACCTCAGCATATTGTCCTATCGTAGTAAGGCCCAACAAAGGCACTCTTAATGGCCCACTGATGTGAGTGACCAGAGAGAGGAAATCTGTAAGACTTTGATAAACATTTACCAATGCATCGTGGTTGAATGGCTGAGATATATCCAGTATCAAAACGTGTGCTGGAAAACATTAAACACAATGAAAATTACATGTTGATTCGGGGCTACAACTGTTTTTAATTTCAACTTGGAACGGTTTACAAAATATAGCTAGACCTATCATAACAAGAAGTCTTCACTAGGAGCAGATGATCATGAGCAGTTCAGTGAGCACTGTGATCACTGATGCCTGCTCATCGCATAAAATTCTACCCAAAATATGATTTTCTTGATCTAACAAGATCTTTTATGCTTAGTAGGTTGGCCCTAAAAGAACCTATATGAATAAATGCTCACGAGAAGTTACGAGCAATTGGGTAAGCGCTCAGAGGGGGTCTATCATAGGGGGTATGAATTTTCGAATTCCGTCTGTCTATTTTTTTTTAACCGCAAGGTAATTTGTGCTATAAACATATGTTCCACATGCGGTGACCTACATAATAAATATATAGAGTTTAAAAATTTATTGAATAAGTAAGAAATTGTCAAAAAGCGAGATTATGTAATTATAACTTAATCACACAAGCTACACAGACAGTTAGCCACAACTTTAAACTATATGACCCGCGATTAGAACATATTAAAAGCTGTCAAACTCGCCAAAACGCTCCCGTACAAAAGCGCGATGTTTATTGTTTAATACAATATGGGCTATTTTGAGGAAGAAAAGCAATATTATTAGGTATCAGATCTATCCAGTAAAACAATTCAAAATCGACCAAAACTTGAACCGAATCCGACTAGAGAAATTCAAGATTTTCCGTCTACGGTCCTTCCGTCTAAGTTATCCGCAAATTCTCGTAACCGTAAAACTATAATAGACCCCCCTCAGACATTTATGGGAAGCACAAAGAACACAGACATTCAAACTAAAGGCTGCTTCTCATATGTCGAGCCTGGTTCTCATATGTCACCGACAGTCTACGATGTAAGGCACTTCATTCATCAGAGATCACAGACAATGGCAATCGCCGACCGTCGGTGACATATGAGAACCAGGCTTTATCATCAGTCGGGGATGTATTGTTAGTGGCCCGTAAGGGCTCCTTAACACATTAGTTACTTATGTTCAAATAAGAGTTCTTATACATCAGAGCATTCGTAACTAATTATTCGTTCACATCTATCAAAAATCGCACATAAAATGGCACTAAAAATTGCCAGTTTAAACGGGACTTAACACAGAAAATTAATTCAAAATAAGAAAGAATTCCATTCGCAAAAGCCATGCATAACCGACTTTCGGTGACATATGAGGACCAGAGGCCGGTTGTATAAAAACGTCGTTAACTTTTAACTAGGATTAGCGCTAATCACTGTAGTTAAATCCTTAACCATGATTAGTTAACTACACGACTTAAATGCGTTGCACAAAACGTAGTTTGTCGGATGATTAACTAATGACGTAACTTGCGTTGAGCTTGCGTTGGGTTGTTGACAGAGAAATAGCATGAAGTATTCCTGAATTGTTGACCGCTATTATTGATTTTGAACAAGACTGTGGACTCGCATTTACAAAAATTGACAGTATTTTGATCCAAACTTCAAAATAATTAAAAAAGTGCTCTTAACATAAAAAGGTTCCTTTGAGTCAAACTACTGGTTGCAGTTGAGAATGGAGATGACCAATCTTTGCTAGGATCGTAATTTGGCATCGATACGTCTCCCGAAGCAAAATATACTCTGTTGCTGCCCAAATGAAAAACATAAAAGCATATCGAAAGTTTGCAAGCTTCGACGGGGTCTTTTCTGAGTGGATAACGGCAACCTTGGTATGTGTTGATCAGTTTTAATGTTTTCTCATTCCTCAAAAGCTCAAGACGCCATTCTTAATTACGATTTGTCATTTGGAAAGTTAACGATACCTTTCTACTTTTTAACTGCAGTTAGCGCTAACTACGTTTTTATACAACCGGCCCCAGGCTTATTGTTGACGCAAGTGCTGTACCAGACGGTAAGTTTGGACGACTTGAGCTTCATTTACACACCAAAAAAATCTCGGAACGGAAAAATTTCTGCGATCCGCATGCGCAATACACTGTTCAAATGTTCTGTTCGTTTCAAATGTTCTGTTCCGAGGAAAGAACCGCATCGTTAATGCGATTAGAATGTTTTTCAACCCTTTTCTTTTTCGTTCCGTTTCAAAGAAATTTTTCTAGTTGTAAATGCAGCTTTGGGCCACTTGGATGAATAGCTTTGCTGCATTTACTGTTTAAATTCGGTGTGTTTTTTTTGCGCAAGACTTATTTTCCCACGCGGCCAATCTTCATTTTCGCGGATATTCTGTTTACTTGAATCAAAGCTAAGCGGCTTACTGTACGGCAGTGTACGCATATTCTGTGTTCTCGATCAAAACTAAACGACTGAATGCGATGTATATTCTGTGAATTCGATCGAAGCTAAACGACTGCACGCATATTCTGCGCTATCAAAATTAAGCGTTTATACGCTGTACTCGATCTAAACTAAACGACTGCGTGCATATTTTGTGTCACTCGATTTTGTTTATATATTTCAAAATTTAAAATATATTAGGTTGCCAAAATTTTAAATTCAAGCTAGCCTGCGCTGTTTTTACTGTGCGTAAGTAAACGCTCGAGTAAACGCGTGAGTAAAGGCTTATACTTAGAATGCAGAATCATTCAGGATATATACACAAAGAATACTTACACCTCTTTTGGAAAAGTAAGTTTTAAGACAATGTATATTCTTGACCTTAGCTGTACCTGACATGGATGAGGTTGTATCATACATAGGCTGCCGCATTTCATTACTAACTGACCTAGCTTATTCCATTTTTTCTAGATGGGTCAAAATTTATTTCATTCAATTCCATCCATTGACCTTACTCCATCCACTGTCACGTACATCTCGGGTCCAGAATTTACTTGTTCTAATTTTTAATAAATTGTAAAATCAACTAAAAATCACTCCCTCAAACTAAAGCCTGCTTTTGGTATGTCATCGACACTCAACAGCTGGCGATGTATTGTTAGTGGTCTGTGACACAGAAAATTTATTCAAAAAAACAAGGCATTCCATTCGACAATAGTCAATAGCCATCGCAGACTGTTGGTGACAAACATGCAGGGTGTTTAAAAAAAGAAATAAATATCGGATGTCTCATGCAAAAAAAGCGGACACACTATTAAATTCACCTATACATAGTTAGAATTTCAATGGCTGCGTTAGCACTATAAGTGTTCCAGAGTATCCCTGAAAACGGGCGCTATTGAAATCACTCACATAGTTTGAACTTTGAATGGCCTGAACCCAAAAAACCGAATGTTTCAGCGTTTCGCACTGCAGTTGGACTTTGAGTCTGCGTATAATTTATAACAACAAAAACTCGTTCTTCTGTGGTCAGTGGAACCATTTTCTCCCGAACTGGTCATAGGATTAATTTGTAATTTAATTTTTATTATTTTCGCAATTTTTTATTATTCACGAAGCCACTTTAAGGCCTAGGTTATACGTCGCATTTTGGTCACGTCGAATGCAATTCAAACAATAGATAATGAGATGATAAACCTCATTAAGCTTCATTATCATCTCATTATCTATTGTTTCAATTGCATTCGACGCGACCAAAATGCGACGTATAACCTAGGCCTAAAGCTCACTTCATACGTCGCATTTTGGCCGCGTCGAATGCAATTCAAACAATAGATGAGATGATAAACCTCATTTAGCTTCACTACCATCTCATTATCCATTGTTTGAATTGCATTCGACGCGACCAAAATGCGACGTATGAACTAGGCTATATACACTAATATGTTATTCGTGCGCTTTACATATAAATTTCAACGTCGTAATGAATCGTTTTAAGCATCTTTGCGTTCAGCTTAGTGCTAGGCGACGCCCATTTTCTGGGACACTCTGGAGCTTTTATATTGCGCTGTGCCATATTCAAATTCTAACAATAAGTGAATTCAATACCGTCCGCGTTTTTTTAATGGATATTTTTACCGGGATACCCTGTACTGTATATAAAATTCATATTCTTCTTAAAGCTCAATTGGGTTTAGGTTAGTGGTATATAAATCTCCTTTGTTTGCGCACCCGGCACCCGACTTTATTTAGACAATTGTGACGCCAGAACAGGATTACAAGCCTCAAATTCCAGTTACCACACGTCATTTGTGTTATTAACAAAGTTAATATTCATGATGTCAAGTGGTTGTTTTTTTAATCACCCAGTATAAGAACAGGATGCACAATGAATTAGACTCAGAATGCAGAATCGTTTAGGATTAATACACAGGGAGATAGAGCATACTTTGAGAAAAGAAAATGTAGGATAAGAATATTCTTGAGGCGAGAGTTGTTTCTGACCGTGAATGGGTTTACTAGATTTACTAGCCGCATTTACTAGTTAGAAAATTGACTGTTAAGTTAACTGACCTTTATTATTTCTCATAATGGTTCAAAATTTTATTTTATGATCCAAACCTATCCACCGTCAGGTACAGGTCTCGCAATAGGAATTTTATTGTCCTTAGTTTGCTTTTCCCAAAGTGTTCCGTGTGTATTAATCCTAGATGATTCTGCATTCTAAAAATAATCATGAATTGTACTGTAAATGCGGCAAAGCTGATGATCCAACCCCATCCACCATCAGGTACAACTCTCGCGTCAAGAATTTACTTGTTCTTAATTTCTTTTCCCAAAGTGTTCGAAGTGTTCCCCGTGTAATTCTGCATTCTAAGTATGATGAAATGTACAGTAAATGCGGCAAACCTAGCGGTACCTGTCTCACGTTTCCTTTCTTCCAGGCGATGTTCTAAACGGATGTCTGAGACTGAGTATTAATTACCAGGAATTTTGCATTCTAAGTATAACGAATTGTTAAGTAAATGCGGTAAAGCAGTAAAGCAGATGATTACACCGGCATGTACAGCTTGTACAGCTTAGCGTCTTGTGTCCGCATTAGTGTAGCTGATACGAGATTGCGAGGCCGGATGTTTCTGACTTTCAGCAAATGCTACTGACCTTTAACTTGAAGCCTAAGAATGCGTATAATGTAATGAACCAATGATTAGTCATGGGGATATGCGTGGGCGTCTCGCAGACTGAAAAAATGAACCCCGTTCAGTATACACGATTAACATGGAACATGGCCATTGCTTTACCTTTATCTCTGAGACTCTGTCCCCTCCTGAACTTTTTCATTTGGCGATGATGTTAACGCATAGTTAATATTAAACTTTTTGGGGTCATAGAAATTTCTGGGTAGCTAAACAAGCATACCTGGTTGATGGGTAAAACGTGTTCCAACTTGTGTCATCGTGTTCAACTGAATAGATTGTCTAAATACACAGATGATACATTATTATCACAAAAGTCGAAAAGACCATAGCAGCAATGTCTGCATTTCCTACGCTACAGTACAGAGGCCTACAGAGTTTTCTACTTTTCTTATACTTTTGAATGATAAATGAAACATTAAACATTTCCTGCCTGTGAATAGTATATTATACAGACACCTTACCTTCTAAAATATACTAAAAACAATCAAATTGAAAGGCAAAAAAGTTGATTATTAATAAATGCAAATTCCTCTGAATGATGAGGGTCTTTTTTTGTTTTTTTTAAAAATGGCGGGAAATGCGGAAACACCTCGAAGGAATGGCACTACTGCAGATACCTGCTGGCGTGTAGGTAGGCGGGCTCGTATTTGGCCGCCATCTTGATTCTTGAAAAAAAGTTCTGAAAAGGAAGAATTTGTGAAAGAGGACTTGAATAGAAATGAAGGACGTGAAGGAATATTTGACTGAGAGACGGAGTGAGAATGAACCGCTCAGTGGAGAATGGGCATTCATGGCGGAGTTGTATGATAAAAGGTTCGTCAAACGACCCGTATTTAATACGGGACATGTGTGATGTGATTAATCACTAAATCAGGAATTTAAGGATCTTCGATATCGATTGGTGTTGAAATTTGACGGCCAATCAGTGATAAGAGTTTTGTAAGCTGATTGTTTTAAGACTTATTGTCATTTTATTGGAATTTGTGAATCAATTGGTCCCTATTACTGTAATGGGTTAATTCTAGCTTATTTGTTATCTTACAGGATGTACTAAGTCAATATTTTCTGTGACATAATAGTTTGTCTTAAAATAATAGTTTTCATATTAATTTACTACCAATACTTCCACCTATTTTTCTCAGCCCAGAGCATTTCACATGCTGATCTTTAAGTCCATCTATATAATTATTTTTTACTTAATATCTGTTTTAGATTGTGGCATCAGTTAACACTTAAACTTATGGAATTTGTCAAAAATGATTATTTCCTTTCAAATGGTGGATTACTTGATGTAAGTCAAATATATACATAGTATATAGCATTTATTTTGCACCTTCTTGATGATGATTAACAGGGGCGGAACTAGGAATTTTCTAACCCTAGTCAAAAATTTTCGGTCCGACTACCGCAGTTACATTTCTCCCGATTATTTTTTTGGAACGATTCGTGGGGAGGAGGGGGTGCGCATTTTATTTTTAAAACAAAATTAATCATGATACATATTACAGATCATATTACACCACACTGTACGACAAACTATGCTTTTATAAGCTTTAAACTCCGACTTTCATGTTTCAGCAAAGAAATTTGTAAATCTGTGTGCTAAACTGGTTTCTTAGATAAAAATGCTGACAGGAAAGCTTTGGTTGATGTAAATATTACATGATATGAAATTATAATCAGCTCTAAATGACCTTTTGGTCTGACCGGGAACTGCTAATGTATGCAAATACAATAACAAACCTGGCTCATACATTTATAGTGCTACAAAACATATTGAATTTATTATTATTGTAATATATTGCTTGTATGAAAATCAGCAGAATTATTTACCTTAATGCTGTACACTTCTTACGAAGAAGGAAAATTTCTCTGCAGCATGTTGTTTGTGTTGTAATTAGCGGCAAGAAGCTCTTCGACTGATTTTGCACTTACCCTGTGAATTTCTTTCGAAAGATCTGCCTTTTGCGAATCGAATCGCAGACCTGACTGTCTCGTACTCGCAGACTGGCATTATCAATTCACATGAGCGATCGTATTCAATAAAAATTTCTGGGAATTTAAAACTTTGCTAACTAAAATGTTATTATTATTTCTATTGACTGAAGTTGATAGATTACCCCAAGCAGCAAACTAGTCAAATGCATCAAGCCAATCAGAAGCCAGACGTTTTCTTTAGACAGCCAATCAGAACGCAAGAATATTACGCAATTTAGTCAACCCCTGCAAACTTTAGTCAAAATGCGAATTGACCAATCAAATGGCTTGAATCTGCCCCAGGTTAGTCAAAATTCACGCAGTCATCCGCTTTTTTTACTAATCTGCATGCTGGATCAAGCGATGCATGAGATATATAACTGGACTTTCTGGAGAGCATTTGAAATTAATATGCGGACTTCTGTATGGGATATTAAAACTGGAGTACTTGGAAGTTCTCTGAATTATTTTATCTGTGCAATTTTTACCCTAGTCGTGTGACTAGTCTGACTACCCCTAGATCCGCCCCTGATGATTATCAATTGACATTTCCCCCTTTAGCTTTCAAGCGTGCAATGCGGGATGGTAGTTGATTATTAAGCAACTTTGAGTTGCGATATCTCTTTGTTTAGAAGCAATTTTGTTTGTAACTTGTAAGAAAACTTTGCCCATTCTTTTTGCTTCTTTGTTAAGCTAAATCACTCCTGAACATGGCGAAAACACAACTCAAATTGGCCTTAATAATCAACTACCATCACTCATTGTTTGCTTGAAAAGCTAAAAGGGGAAAGGTCTATTGGCTGTTCTAACTAATAACAAACATTTTTTGCAAAGAAGGCACAAAACTGACCAAAAAGTGACATGCTGAATGGAGGTTCTATTGTGTTGTTAAATGAAAATTACTACATTTGTAGGCACAAAGTTTCGTGTTGATTTTTCCAGATTTTCTGTACAATATTAAATTATGAAAATGTATATAGACACCAACTATACACAATTGCCCAATATTGTTATAATTTTTTCTTCTAAGAAAACTGCGGTATTGTACTTGTCTTCACTTACTAATGCATTGAGCAGTGATGAAGGGTCATATAATCAAGGGTCATGTGATCACTGTAGTAATAATCTTTTTTTACCTTTTAGCTCTATGAGAATTTTCTATCTGACTTTGAAAACAAGTAAGTTTTTTAATCTTCTGTTTTGAACTTAGGCAAGGTACAATTTTCAGGTTATTTTTTAAAGTAGGTCTTTTTATTTTCAAACAGAATCAATCCTTTATCATTAATGGAAATTATAATGTCAATCATAAGAGAAATTCAAGGTAATCAATGTATAATTTTACATGTACCTAAATTATTTTAGATATTTATTCACAACTAGTTGCATCTGTCTCTGAACGATTTACATCTTTTTTATTATTATGAAGATCCTGAAAGAGCAATTGAATTTCTTAACCAACAGAAAGAGAAGGTATAAACTTATAATATATTATAAAAACCTGTAAATGGTGTTTGCCCAAATCCTTATTTGTATGTATCGACTTTGGCGTTATATTAGGGTGCACTTGAAATTTTAAACTATCCCGCCAAACATCGTTGTTAATATTTGCAACAATTTATCCATTTTTGTCCAAAATTTGAAAGACTTTGCAAAACTTAATTTCCAGTCTCAAAACCTGGCCTGAAATCAACAAAATTGCTATTTCTAATGATCGAAAAATGTGTTTGCATCCATGGATTGAGGAAATTGAGGAAACTCTGTTGATTTAAAAACCTTTAATAACGCGTTACAAACAAGCCTGTTAAAACGGCTTATTTCATGACTTTGTACAAAAATATTCTCTAAAGTTATATATAATGCTTTAAATTATTTCTAGTCTACTTATTCTTCTATTCATTAAAAACGTTCATTCATTCAAATCGATAGTCACAAACGATTTTTCGGCAATGTCTTCAACAGAATTTTCGCCGGTTTCAAGATTTGTATCGTCTATATCTTTGCTTTTAAAGCAACAACAGAAAAAAGAAAGAAGTCGTTGATGAAATTTCTTTGATTTCGTTCTTTTAGCTCCAGTCTCGTCTTGCTTCTTCTTTTTGTTGGCTTTTGACTTCTTTTTGTTGTTCCCCTTCTTTTTCTTACATGTATTTTTCCCGTTTCCATCTTCAGTCTTGGAAGTTGACAGGCCGCCGCTCTCAGTCACTGCTATGTCGTTGTCTGATAAACAAAAGTAAACAATGAGTCGATAAAAACAAACTGATCTACTTAAAAGTGCAGGGTTGGAGTTTTTAAAAGTTCACTCAGTTCAAGCGTAAACTCTTACTAAACTTTAGTAGACTTTAGATAAGGTAAGACCCGGACCTCTTTCGAAATGATCATTCGAATCTTTAGATGCAAAGAATTGGGTCTAATACTACTGGATCTATCATATACCCACTTACCGTTAATTTCGTGCTGATGTTGTGAAGATGAATGAGGAGAAGCGATAATTTTACTATTTTCAACAACTTCGTTACCCGGCGCGTTTTCGACAATGACGATATCTTTACTTTTTTCTTTCGTGGAAGTCGATGATGGATTCTGTTCGGTGGAAAATGTCGTTGTCGGATGATGGCCAACATGTTCCAAAGACATCGTATCTTCGATATTCTCGCATCCGGAACGAGGCAGTTCACACTCAGGTGGAGACCCGGTCACGCTCGACACCTGAGCGGAGTTTGTCTCAGATCCAGATGGAGGAACACCGTTGATGCTTTGTCTGTCGGAACAATTGGGGTGACACTGGATGTCATTCTCGGCTTCAACATCGGGCAGGATTTTCTTTGCGTCATCTTTATTGAGGACGTCTGTCGCACATTGTTCACCTTCAAGTTGAACAGTGACATCTTCCACTGTTCTTTCCACTGTTCTTTCCTCAGTGTCCACCATAGATGCGCACACCATAGCATCCGCGATCAAGACCTGGCCAGCCTCAGTTGACTTGTTGTTCTCATCTTTTACAACGGACAAAAAAACACCATGAGGTTTGCGAGAGAAAGTGACTATATTTAAAATCGTTACGTCATGATTTACATAATCAACAACTTGTTTGAACTTACCAGAAACAAGAACAATTTGAGTTTCTTCATGGTCAGTTTCGTTGGGACAGGAGTAAGAAACCTCAACAGTTGTGTTTGTTTTGTCATCATCCAACGTCACAGGAAAGTTGTCTGTGTTTGAATCACCAACAATTAGTTGGGTCCCGGCTTCTGTTAAGACACAATTTAGTATGTTGTCATCATATGTAGTTCAACAACGGGCTAAAAATATATGTCGGAAAAAATCTCGGAAGTCCGCTATTTGGACATGTCATTAATTTAAAGTTGGGAAAAATATCGAGCATTTTGTTTCTGTGAGGAAAAACCGTAGTCGAAAAAAACCTGCCAGGATTGGAATTTTCACACTCGCCTTGGCGTCAACGCCATCAGAAATAAGTGAATATTTTGGTTACGTTTCTTCAATCTGTCATAATTTAAGGACAGTGACTATCCTTGTGTCGGATGTAGAACTCAGTAAAAGTATAGTGGTTGACTTAAATATTCACATGCATGATATGATTATTCAAAATAGAGAGAAGTACAACAACTGTTCTGTTTGTGCCAATATAAACGAATTGAAGGAAAACTAATCAATTATTACTGATCATGCTGACTTGTTTGTAGCTAGCTACAGACGGAATTATATAGCTCAGTGCTACAGACTTACCGCATGTTGCAGACACATGTACAGTCAGAGTTTCTTCATGATGACTTTCGTTGGAAGAAGTGAGAGGAACTTCAACATTTGTGATAGCTCCTGTAATAAACTGAATTTAGATTTGTCTGTAATTCGACATGTTGTGATTCAAAGTTTGCGCTTACCTTGAACACCACGGTCTTTCTGTTGATTGAGTTCTAACGTTGAGAGAACATCAGCATTTTCTTGGTCAGCGTTATCGCCAACCAGTGTCAAGGCCGTCTGCTCTGTGTTTACGTCATTTGGTTTCGGCATTTCTCCAGACACGAGAACAGCTTCTCCTTCGTCTTTGTGAGGTTCTTCTTCAACGCCGACGACCAATGATGTTTCCTTTAAAAGAGCGATGCTTTCTCCAAGAATTGTGTTTGAATTATTTTCCTCAATCTTAATATCTTTGCAGTCATTTTGCTCCAATTCACAAAAGAGATTTTCTGAAAATTCATTCACTTTAATGCTTGCTTCCTTATTGTTAGGAAAACCTTCGATCTCGATATTATCTTCCATATTGGCAACCGGAATTTCACTTGATGTTGACAATGTTGCTTCAAGATGTTGTTGATCTAATCAGAAACGTAAATAAAAAAAGTCTTTTAAAGTCGCACGCGCAATTGAGTTAATTAGCGAGTTTGTTGCATAGGAACGAGAAAAATAGTTTTATCTTGTGCAATAAAAAAACGATTCGTACAATTTTTGCAAACGATTTTCAAGAAATTTTTAAATGCTTTGTTGTACCTTTATTCTGTTTCTTTACGAAAGAACTTTCCAATTCTTCCAGATGGGCTCTTGTGTCTGCAGCAGTTTTCTTGGCCGCTTCGACGATTTCATCCAAAGATTTTGCGTCGCCATAGATATTGAATTTTATCAACTCTTGAACTATATCTTCCTCAGTTTCTTCATGAAATCTTGAGGCACCCTCAATATCAACTTCAGTCATGCTTGTTTGATTACTTGCCATTTCAAATAAACCTCGAAAATTTTGAATTTGCTCAGAAAACGTAACGAACGTGCGTAGTCAAGCTCAGTCAATGAATTATGACAAACATAATTATGACATCACGGCGTTTTTATTGCATGCGCGTCAAGCTAGGAATTGTGGGTAATGGCTCTTATGTGACATAATTTAATTGGAAAGTGCAGTAGAGTCAATCACCTAGATCGAACCTATTCGCGGGTGTGTCGGGCTTAAGCGTTTTTGAGGACGGACGAATTGGAATCAAATTTGCCCGTCTTTGGGTTATAATCGAATAGGCTTTGTTTTTCCAATTATTTTCCAATATAAAACATAATTTATACTGTATTATCTTATGAGAAGAAGTATCTCCGTTTGGCGTTTCCGAGGAATTTTATTCTTATTTTAACCCCATTTCAACGTGTTTTTTTTCTTTCGGGATCTTAGAGTTTTATCCCAAATTCGGGGTTTCATCCCAATTTCGGCTTGTATCCGTGGATAAAATAAAAAATTGCAGTGTAGGTTTTTGCGGGTTAATTTGGCTCCTATCCATAACAAATATTTTATTGTTCATTGCAATTGAGAAAAAACTGTTCATTTAAAAATCTTTAATAACGCGTTACAAACAAGCCTGTTAAAACGTCTTATTTCATGTACAAAAATATTCTATAAATTTATATATAATTCTTTAAATTATTTCTAGTCTAATTATTCTTCTATTCATTAAAAACTTTCATTCGTTCAAATCGATTGTCACAAACGAATTTTCGGCAATGTTTTCAACAGAATTTTCGGCAATGTCTTCTTCAACAGAATTTTCGCCGGTTTCAATATTTGTATCGTCTATATCTTTGCTTTTAAAACAACAGCAGAAAAAAGAAAAAAGTCGTTGATGAAATTTCTTTGATTTCCTTCTTTTAGCTCCAGTCTCGTCTTGCTTCTTCTTGTTGGCTTTTGACTTCTTTTTGTTGTTCCCCTTCTTTTTCTTACATGTATTTTTCCCGTTTCCATCTTCAGTCTTGGAAGTTGACAGGCCGCCGCTCTCAGTCACTGCTATGTCGTTGTCTAATAAACAAAAGGAAACAATGAGTCGATAACTAATTTCGGTCGAGAATTGTTTGAGGCTTTTTACACTCGTTATCAAGGAAAACTAGAAAAACGTCCATAGAAATTTTGAACTGAACTACTTAAAAGTGCATAGTTGGAGTTTTTAAAAGTTTACTTAGTTCAAGCGTAAACTCTTACTAAACTTTAGTAGACTTTAGAAAAGGTAAGACCCGGACATTTTTCGAAATGATCATTCGAATGTTAGATGCAAAGAATTAGGTCTAATACTACTGGATCTATCATTCAGTTAAAAAAATACCCACTTACCGCTAATTTCGTGCTGATGTTGCGAAGATGTATGAGGAGAAGCGATAATTTCACTATTTTTAACAACTTCGTTACCCGGCGAGCTTTCGACAATGACGACATCTTCACTTTTTTCGTTCGTGGAAGTCGATGATGGATTCTGTTCGATGGAAAATGTCGTTGTCGGATGATGGCCAACATGCTCCGAAGACATCGCATCTTCAATATTCCCGCATCCGGAACGAGACAGTTCACACTCAGGTGGAGACCCGGTCACTCTCGACACCTGAGCGGAGTTTGTCTCGAATCCGGATGGAGGAACACCGTTGATGCTTTGTCTGTCGAAACAATTGGGATGACACTGAATGTCATTCTCGGCTTCAACATCAGGCGGAATTTTCCTTGCCTCATCTTTATCGAGTACGTCTGTCGCACATCGTTCACCTTCAATTTGAACAGTGACATCTTCCACTGTTCTTTCCACTGTTCTTTCCTCAGTGTCCACCATAGATGCGCACACCATAGCGTCTGCGATAAGGAGCTGGCCAGCCTCAGTTGTCTTGTTGTTCTCATCTCCTACAACAGACACAAAGACACGATGAGGTTTGTGAAAGAATTGACTAAAATCGTTCCGTCATAAAGAACTTTGTATATTTACACCATCAACAACTTGTTTGAACTTACCTGAAACAACAATTTGAGTTTCGTCATGGTCAGTTTTGTTCGCACAGGAACAAGGAACCTCAACAGTTGTGTTTGTTTTGTCATCATCCAACGTGACTGAAAAGTTGTCTGCGTTTGAATCACCAACAATTAGTTGGGTTTCCGCTTCTGTTAAGACACAATTTAGTATATGGTCATCAGATATAGTTCAACTATCGGAAGTCCGCAATTTGGACATATCATTCATTTAAAGTTGGGGAGAATATCGAGCATTTTGTTTCTGTCAGAATGAAACGTTAGTCGAAAAAAACCTGCCAGGATTGGAATTTTCACAGTCGCCTTGGCGTCAGCGTCATCAGAAATAAGTATATATATTTTGGTTACGTTTCTTCAATCTGTCATAATTTAAGGACATTGACTTTCCTTGTGTCGGATGTAGAAACTCAGTAAAAGTATAGTGGTTGACTTAAATATTCACATGCATGATATGAATATTCAAAATAGAGAGGAGTACAACAACTGTTCTGTTTGTGCCAATATAAACGAATTGAAGGAAAACTAATCAATTATTACTGATCATGCTGACTTGTTTGTAACTAGCTACACACTTACCGCATGTTGCAGACACATGGGCAGACAGAGTCTCTTCATCGTGACTTTCGTTGGAAGAAGTGAGAGGAACTTCAAGAGTTGTGATAGCTCCTGTAATAAACTAAATTTAGAATTGTTTGTAATTCGACATGTTGTGATTTAAAGTTTGCGCTTACCTTTAGCACCAGAAGAACGGTCTTTCTGTTGATTGAGTTCTAACGTTGAGAGAACATCAGCGTTATCTTGGTCAGCGTTATCTCCAACCAGTGTCAAGGCCGTCTGCTCTGTGTTTACATCATTTGGTTTCGGCATTTCTCCAGACACGAGAACAGCTTCTCCTTCGTCTTTGCGAGGTTCTTCTTGAACGCCGACGACCAATGATGTTTCCCTTAAAAGGTCGATGCTTTCTCCAAGAATTGTGTTTGAATTATTTTCCTCAATCTTAATATCTTTGCAGTCATTTTCATCCAATTCACCAAAGAGATTTTGTGAGAACTCATTCACTTTAATGCTTGCTTCCTTATTGTTAGGAAAACCTTCGATCTCGATATTATCTTCCATATTGGCAACCGGAATTTCACTTGATGTTGACAATCTTGCTTCAAGATGTTGCTGATCTAAACATAAATGTAAATAAAAAAAAGACTTTTAAAGTCGCACGCGCAAATGAGGTAAATAATGAGATTTTTGCATAGGAACGAGAAAATTTTTTTATCTTGCGCGTTGAAAAAAAACATTCATACAATCTTTGCAAAAGATTTTTAAGAAATCTTTAGATGCTTTGTTGTACCTTTGTTCTGTTTCTTTACGAATGAACCTCTCGATTCTTCCAGACTGCCTCTTGTGTCTGCAGCAGTTTTCTTGGCCGCTTCGACGATTTCATCCAAAGATTTTGCTTCGCCATAGATATTGAATTTTACCAACTCTTGAACTATATCTTCCTCAGTTTCTTCATGAAATCTTGAGGCACCCTCAATGTCAGCTTCAGTCATTCTTGTTTGATTACTTGCCATTTCAAATAAACTTCGAAAATTTTGAATTTGCTCAGAAAACGTAACGAACGTGCGTAGTCAAGCTCAGTCAATGAATTATGACAAACATAATTATGACATCACAGTGTTTTTATTGCATGCGCGCTAAGGCTAGGAATCGTGGGTAATGGCTCTTATGTGACGTCATTTATTTGGAAAGTGCAGTAGAGTCAATCGCCTAGATCGAACTTGTTCGCGGGTGAGTTGGGCTTAAACGTTTTTGAGGGCGGAATAATGATTGAAAAAAAAAATGGCCGACTTACGAGTAAAACTTTTTTTTTTCAATTTTTTTTTCAATATAAGTGCTATATTTTCATTAATGTACAGTACGTAAAAGTTAAAACTAACTATGTCACACGTTTACAATTAAGCATGTACAAGCATAAGCAGCCCGATCAATGCAGTTTCGTCATACTATCTTATGTACCGCTACGAGTATCTACGGTTGGCATTTCCCATATTTCCCCCCCATTTCGACGTATTTTTGCTTTCGGTATTTTAGAGTTTTGTCTAAATTTCAACTTTTCTTCTCCATTAAGCATTTTATTTCCTATTTCATCGTTTTATCCATCATTTCATCGTTTTATCCCCTATTTCATCGTTTTATCCACCGTTTCATCGTTTTATCCACCATTGCAACGTGTTATTCCCATTTCAGCGTTTTCTCCCGATTTGAGCGTTTTATCCCTTTTTAGTTTTTCGAATTTCGTTCGGGGATTGGAAAAACCAAAAAGAACACTTTTACTTTTTTATATGAAGGTGAAAGCAAGCCATGATGCTCAAGTATTATGTCTCACTGCAATTGGAAATCTAAAGCTATCAGAAAAAAAATTAAAAGAGACAAAAGTGAGTTGTTTTCATCGCAAATTACTTTGCCCTGATTTGGTGTTCATTGACTTCGAAGACAATAAAATTGTAAAATAATCAATAATTATAGTAAATTAAGCTTTGCATAGCATTGGCATTAGCAGGATTAAATCTTCGGCCATACGCTATTACCTGCAAAAGATATATAGCAAACAGTGACAAGATATTTACGTTTTATATTGAGTTTTAAAGGGTTATAGTTTAGAATCACCTTCATAAATCCCACTGCCTAAGCACCACACAAAATAATTCAAATAGTCGATTTAAAGCCTTCTGAAACTAAGAGCGAAGGAACCAAAAGAAAGAAAAATGAACTGTTCTGTACATTATAATCCTTAATATCCCCATGCATGTATAGTTTGTTTTTTCCAGTCCCTAGTAAATACTCGTCGTTATACAGTCTGTATTTGTAGTGTACAGTATTTGTTGCGTTTTTCAGGAAATAATAGAAGAAGTAAACACACTTCTTGAAAATATCCAGGGTATTACTACAGTTCACGCTAGATTTTATGATCTGTCTTCTGGATATGATAAGGTAATATACATTATTGCTCAGTTATACTTCTCTAGGGTATGGTTACAGTATACACGATAGTTGTAATGAATGATCCGTGGTAATATTTTATGATCTCGTACACTCGAATTACTGCATTGAAAGCAAATAATAGAGCAGAATCCCTTGGTTTCCTCGCAATATTTCCCACCACGAGCGACTTGCTTGGTCTACTGATGTTTGTTGCGAACTAAATATCAACTGGGGCCAGTTGTTCAAAGATAGGTTAGCGCTAACTCCTGGATTAATTTTAATCCTGTGTTTTGTGCGCTTCTGAACCACTGTTCGTTTTAAAAATTTACAAAATGTGACGTCAATTGCCTATCGGTATAGAAAATAGTTATAGAAAAGATATTCGACTTTGTAAACAAGCGATTAAAGAATCAATGTAAAAATTTGCTTTAACCCAAGGTTAAGCTAAAATCCGGATTTTTTTTTTTTTTTTTGAACAACCGGTCCCAGAATCCATCTGTGTATCAAATTAAAATTATGTTTTATGAATATTTAATATCATTGAATCTATATTGCATATCGTCAATTATAGGCCGCTGGTTCATTCAATGATTATTACAGAAATGCTCTCAGATTCCTGGGCTGTATTGATGTTGCTGATTTGCCAGGTATGTTCTTTTACCTCCTGCGGCCAGTTGTATAAAAGACTAGTTAACTTTTAACTGTAGCTAAGAACAGAATTGGCCAATCAGAGTCGTGTATTTCTGAGTTAACTATATAGGATTTAACTATGCAAAATATAGTTAAAGAGTTTTATACAACCGGCCCTGAACGTAAGTATAAAATTATGTCGTTCTGTGAGATGATCTATAGTTCGAGCCGATACACTATTTGACAATCTGATGTCGATGTTTGATCGTTGAAATGAAATTTTAGTCTATCAATTTTGTTATGTGGGCATACAGCAAGTTGATTGAACTTTTTTACCCAAAATAAGTTTGAACAATTTAATTGCTCTACGTTTATGGTTTTATACTCTACTACACCTGCAATTTAGATATAACAGCCAGTGCAAAACTACGCAGAAATATAAAATATATTTATTACGGGGCGTATAGACTATATAACACATGCATATTTTCACCATACTTGGAGGCAAAATGTTGGAGGCAAAAATTGTATAAAAATATGTACAAAATGTCTGTACAGGTAAAGTGGCTTCCACCTCACATCACGAGTTCGTGATGTCGACCATCCTATACAAAGAAATAACTTGAATAAGACCCGAGTGTGGAATGTAATAGCTGTATTCATTCTATTTTTTAATTTAGCGAAAGAACAACAAGATAGAGCCTTCAACTTAGCCTTGGCTGCGTTGCTTGGAAGTGATATTTATAATTTTGGAGAACTGGTACGATTACTAGCGAATCGTGTTTAAGAATGAAATGCGTCCATACCATTGATTTGTGTTGATGTTTTTTTCGATATGTTAATATATATGAATTATATATATGTTTTATATTGCATCTTCATTCTTTTATTCTTTCAGCTTGCACATCCAGTATTGGATTCAATAACAAAAACGGACCACCAGTGGGTAGTGGACTTGCTTTATGCTTTTAACAGTGGTATGTGTTTATTTGTGATACTTTTATGTGTCACATCAATGCAACGAAACATTTTATACGTGCACTAATGGGTAATAAACGTTAGACGAAGGCCTCGCAAATAATTATTATTCATGTACTGTAATGTTTGAAAAACAGTAAAACCTACAATGATTTGGAGCGTATACATGTATGTCAAAGAGATTTCCCAAATTGTGATTTCAAAAAATCACAATTAATAGCGCTATCAAGGAAGTAAAGCTGCACATATAAAATGTCAAGAAAGCTAAAATGTGTGCAAGAAGTCCGAAACACTATAAGTAGTTCATTATAACAAAATGTTTTTAGGTGATATTCCCAGATTTGAGGCAATGAAATCCACTTGGACAAAACAAGTAAGAAAGTTGATACTCCGCGTGATACCCTAGTAACGTAGATGACCAAATGGAAATGCCCCGTTAAACAATTCCAAACACTTCCAATCAATTTTCTCATTTGTTATTCTAGCCTGATTTAGCAAGCCACGAATTATTACTGCGTCAGAAGATCACGTTACTCTGCCTAATGGAGGTAAAATGTACAAACGTGCACGAGGGTGGCTTATAGAATATTGTGCGATTTTGATCTAATAAAGATCTCGTTTTTATTTTAGATGGCATTCAATCGCCCACCAAACGACCGATCATTATCCTTTAAAGAAATAGCTACCGATGCGAGGATACCAGTAAACGAGGTAGACTGTATTCAGGGTCTCGAAATAACGGCCGGTCAACAGGCAATGACCAGCCAATGCTTGTTGACCGGTTAATTTTTTACCATGCCGGTCATTTTGACCATTTGACATAATTCTCTTGGCCTTCATTTATCAGCTCAACACCTATATTTAATGCTGATTTCATCAACGTTACCAAACATAGATTTCTTGAAAAGCCTTATAATACTACACACAGGAGAATCTGCGTAGCTTGGTTCTTAATTTTTTCGTGTTGATTTTTGAAAATTGTGTGATTTTGTGATCAGTCTAAAGCCCCGGCTACACTGGCGATTTTTGACGGCTATTTTCTTCTCTTGGTGTATGCTATTAAGTAAATTTAACAGAGTAGGTTACTTTACTTCGCCCCGCTTATACACTGCGTACGTAATTCACACAATAACATACGCTATGCCTATAGAAAGACAAAATCGTCGATGAAAATCGCTCTTGTAGCCCCGGCTTAATACCAAGTTTGACCGAGTTAAAATGAAGTTGAACGGTTACTTTGATCGGAGAACTCTCGGCCGTTATTTTGAGCCCTTAATGTATTATAAATATTAGTCGGAGTATGGGCGAAAAAATTATAAACAGTAGCTTTCAAGGCCCGGTTGTAGGAAAGCTGGACAGCGCAATACATCACGGATTGTGATTTTTCAACCGTCGTATAAAAATGTTTGAAAAGCAGTAAAACTACAGGTTTGGAGGTAACAATTACTACAGAGAATCCGCTAATTAGAAATACTAAAGTTTTATCCAAGGTTATACCGAAAAACGGGTAATATCAGAGCGATTAAAACACCGGTGGCGGTGCATGGGTGACGCTATCCAGCGAGATTTATATCGTTGTCCTGTTTTGAAGGATGCATGTTCGTACCATCGCACTGCGAACTAAACAAGAGTGAAATCAATTTTTCTATATAGTCCAGAAATTCCTACATTCGTCATTTTGTAACTTAGGCATACATTGATTACGTTTTATAGTAGATACAAGACAGTATTCGTATATATACAATCACATTTCTCAGTTCCATAGGCAAGCGGGTTCACACGCTAATAATTCATCCCACGATTCGGGGACTAACGACCAATGCTGTTTTTGTGTCTTTGTAAAGGTGGAACTACTTGTCATGAAAGCCCTTTCGATAGGATTAATAAAAGGTATCAATTTATTTAGGGGGTATTATAGATCTTCCTTAATTAAACCAAATTAAGATCAGACTCCACATATATTCTGTGTGAAAGACGTTTCGTGTACTGGAGCCGGTTGTTCGAAAGCTGGATAAAGTCATCCACTGGATAGTGATTTCAAACATTTAAAAAAATCCTCACCACTTGGCATTACCAATATTGAAATTTACAATTTTGAAGTTAAAATACCTTTTAACGATTATAAATTTAATAGATTTAAGTATAATTTGTGGATGACTTTATCCATCTTTCGAACAACCTGACCCTAGTGTTATTAGGGTGATTTAGCATGAGGACGTGAACGTCAAAGACGACGTGAAAATGGCGAGTAAATGGCGTGGCATGTCCATATTTGGGCGCATCACGCCATTTATTCGCCATTTTCACGTCGTCTTTGACGTTCACGTCCTCGTGCTAAATCACCCTAATATTAAATGTGGGTGTCTTCAATTAAAGTGTATGTTATATGCCTTTCTGATTGCAATTAATTCCTTGGCAGGCTCAATAAACGAAGTGAACAAGATTGTTAAGATATCTTGGGTTCAACCGCGGGTTTTAGACAGAAAACAGGTATGACTCACTATGGTACAGATATATGCATAGATTCGCGTCCGGGAAGTGTAGTATACTAGTAGCGACATGCATGTAAATGAGTGGTGGACATCTGCAAATTTAATTTAATTTTTTTATTACTGATCAATTCACTCATCAAATCACGTCTAATCGCAATAGCTTTAGATGTCATCTATATCTTTCAACTTTGTTGAAACTATACCGTGATAAAATCATCAATGTGATGATACAGATAATAGTAAGAAAGTTGTATATACCGCTAGTCGAGTGGCGATGCCGGTGCAATGCTCTTGCCACTGAGCTACAGAGGTAGCTGGCAAGAGCAAGCGTTGTTAATGTGTATAGGGTAGTAAACTAATGCTCAAAATTAAGACCCTTTAAATCCTAGAATTTACATGCATCGAGTAAAGTGCCAAAAATAATACTGCTACTGACTTGTGTATATATGCAATGTAAAATGTGTTTACTGGCAAGGATGGGGTATAATTATAGTCCATAATGTAATTCCTAGCTCTTTAATTTGGAAAGTGAGTTTTGTGGTTTTAAGGAAATGAGGTCTGTGGAAATGTGGCCGAAATCTGCATCTTCCATTAATGCATGCATGCTAGGCATCTTGTACTCATGTTTGGTGTTGTAGATTATTTGGTTTGGAAAGTAGGGGTTAGGGCTGGAAGGACGTTTGGTATAGTATAGTTTAGTGCTATAAGGCTGGTTAGTTAAAGTTTAGTATGGTTTTCTCCGCTGTGTTATGAAACCTAAGCAGCAAGGGTAAATATTAAGGTGTTTGCTATATGTTATGCCTTTTCTGCCATTTTCTTCATTTAGATATCCAATATGAAAGATCGTCTCTCAGAGTGGTGTGACAAAACAAAGAATACGAGTTATATGGTCGAAGACCAAGTCCCAGAACTACTAATATAATCTGCAATTGTAAATAACGTTTTTATAGTATTGTTTTGCCTGTCAGTTTGTTAAAAAACTTGTAATCAGTTAAATTTTACTGAACATCTGTGGTCCATGAACAATGCAGAATAATTTTTCCGATACACAATAATAGCCTTGTTGTTTCCATAGATCGTAATCATAGAAATAATAGACATATTATTTCTTTGATCGTAATTTATAATATCGGTTCAGAACATGTGTTAAACTAGTTATTATGAACTAGTTGCCACAAGATTGATACACTTAACGTCGGTACTTCAAAATGATCTTTCATACCCCCAGTAAACAATCCATACCAGGCAAAAGAATTCCACCTCCGCACACTAAAAAAAGGTGTGTTAAATTTACACACCTTTTTTGTCCAAATTTTAACACACCTAAAGGTGGGTTTTGAAACACACCTAAAGGTGTGTTTAACACACCATAAGGTGTGCAAAAAGCATCTTCAAAGGTGTGTTAACACATAGCAAGGTGTGTTTTTGTGCACACCAAAAGGTGTGTAGAACACACTAAAAGGTGTGTCAAAAAACACACCAAAAGATGTGTTTTGGCTATCTGTAAAACAAGGAACGGGGAATCGGGGAAAGGAATGGGGAAAGGAACGGGGAACGGTAAAACCAGAATCCGGAAAAAGCCGGAATCTGTAAAACCAGGAATGGGAAAAGCCGGAATCTGTAAAACCAGGAATGGACCTAGCCCCTTCTATATTATTATCATAGTCTCTTATCACTATTAAAATGATTCGTTTATACTTTACATTTTACGCGCAATATCTTATATATAAAGATAAAACGAACAATTCAATATGTAAATAAAGCAATCTTGAAAGTCAAAATTTCGACTTCATTTTAAAGAAATCTTCAGACAGAATGAAATACGATACTTTACAACGTATACAACACAGAGAATTAAAGCGCACGTCTGTCAAACGTCTGTTGCGAATAAAATTATAAAACTGAGTATGTATATAATAACAAACATAATAATGTTGATATGATAATAATTTTAGATAGTCTATGATAAATATGTATGATAACAACAATGCTACAGTCTGTTCCCGTTTGTTAATTAACACCAGTCGCCCCGTAGGACAAACACGCTCTACTGTTGTGAATATGATCAAAATCAAAAGAACATAAACATAACATTCATTCCTGGTTTTACAGATTCCGGCTTTTCCCATTCCTGGTTTTACAGATTCCGGCTTTTCTCATTCCTGGTTTTACAGATTCCGGCTTTTCCCATTCCTGGTTTTACCGTTCCCCGTTCCTTTCCCCATTCCTTTCCCCGATTCCCCGTTCCTTGTTTTACAGATAGCCGATGTGTTTTTGGCTTGTCCAAATTTTAACACGTTCTAAGGTGTGTTTTCAAAGAAGGTGTGTTTTCATACACACCTTGGTGTGTTTCATTACACAGCTAAAGCTGTGCTGGAGAACACACAAATTGTTTAAGTAAAAAGTTGCACACCTTTCCTAAAAGTAACATATAAACAGGGCTAGAAAACACACAAACACAATATTAATTTATAAATATATCTTAAGTTCCAATACTATTAAGAATTAACATGAAGTCACAGTAATGAATTATATAAATATCTTGAAGCATGCAGTTTAGTTTAAAATAATGTCTTACTCTATAAACAGTTTATTGACTTGATGTCGTCTCGACTTGACACTTGGTGGTGTTTTCTTGTCTTGTTGGTCACCCTTGTTCTTGTTTGTTGGAGTGTATGGTGCCTGCTCAACTGTTGCAATAACATCATCGCCTTAATTCATGATCTTCATAATCAACAAAGGTCACCTGAAAATATAAAATAAATGCATAAGAGGATCTGGTATTTAGAATTTTCCAATTTAAGATGTGCACAAGCATCTGTTAATTAATAGAACATGCTAAATGATACCCAATTTATGAGTTAAGATTTATTTTTGGTAAAAGAATTTAGGATGTATTGTCAGGTATAGGCAGGTATAATTACATGAATTATAACCTTCTGTTGAAATTTGAAAAATTGGGGTCTGGGCACATTTCCTATAGTTTCTTTAAAATGGGAAAGTTTTATTTAAATATGTATATATAGCTATCTTTCAGGATAAGTAGTCAAGTCTATAGTATTATAAAAAATCATAAACCATTCTGGAACACTCAAGTCAAATCAACTATCTAATATTTACAACATTTAGAAAGCAAATGCAGTATAGTGAGGACAAAAATTGGTCCTTTGGAATGTTACTAACCCCCAAAAGGAATACAAAATATTAAACATAAATTAAGACACAAAACAATTCATCAAGATTACACCTAGTGAATTATATGCTTTCTTTATACCAAGCATAAACTATGGCATAAACAGCCTTATGTATACACCGATATACGTGTAAATCTCCTTCTAAAAGCACCTAGAACAATTAAATTTTGAATGATAAAACGTAACACTCACCAAGTCTCTCTTGTGATGTCGAATCTGTTCGCGTCGCCATGCGCTTCGGTGGTCTCTGAATTATTAGAATGAAGCAGACTTTTCACTTTCAAGCTATTCGGGACCTTCGAAGTCTTGAATTTCTTTGCATCGTTTGTAACGGAACCATCAATTTATTCGCTACAAATAGATAGAGACAACCATATTGATTACACTCGTTGGCCATATTGAAATTGATACAAATGTTTGACACAAACGATTCGAAAAGCACTGCAATACAACTTACCCTCTTATAATTTCTTCTTTATACAACATCATAAGCTCTCGTGTGTTCATCTCCAAAAAAATCTTAAAATCGCCTTCACAATAAACATAATTTAAACTTGTAACAGACTCGAAACACAGTTGTCACAGTAGAGAAGGAAATGTAAAGTGGTTTGTATTTCGTGCGCGTGGGTTTCACACCTCGAGACATTCTTATTGGTTAAAAACGTATGACGTATTAGATCACTGACCTGTATATACAAGTCTGTATGGCAGATATTCAAAAACAACCCACGTTCATTCACAGTAAACCACAACGATCTGTAAATTCCCTTAAATCTATGTCTTATATAATGTTTAGAGTTTTTAATACTGATCAAAGCTGAAACGCAGGCCAAAGATGACAGGAATTTAAAGCAAAAAGTTAAATTTAAATGCAATGGAACAGCGTGAAATTTCCTGTGACTTGTGTAATTCCTCGTAAGGCTGACGCTTTTATCGACGCACTAAAATACTATAGGTAATAAATAAGGCCAATCAAGCATATTGTTAATAATTTAAAGGTGTGTTTTATAACACATCAAAAGATGTGTTTCTTTGATGGGTCAAGGTGTGCTGTCAAACACACAAAGGTGTGTTTTCAGTGAAAAGGTGTGTTACTTTACACACCTTAATGAGTAAAAGAAAAGGTGTGCAAAAGGAGGTGTTTTCGCTAACACACAAAGGTGTGTTTTCGAACACACGAATGTGTGTTTGCGTACACACAAAGGTGTGTTTCCTTACACACCAAGGTGTGCTTTCTAAAAGCGCGTAGAAAGGTGTGCAGAAATTACACACCATGGCGTGGGTGTGTAGTCAAACACACCTTGGTGTGTAATTCTACACACCTGTTTTTTGTGTGACAAATTCGAATATCATCGAAATCGAAAGTTTCGTTTTACACTTCAATTTGGAAGCACCATGTATTGGTTGCGTAAAGGCAAGTTCACACGATCCAATTTTGTTGGGTCCAATTCACTTCTGAGGGATGATTTATAGTCTGTTCACTTGCAAAGTATATGGGCAGCAAATCAACTATCCCCACGTCTCCACTGACCACGAGTCTTGTTCTTACGTGCCGGAATTGAAAATTCAAGTAAGTGAATTGCAGAGTATATTCAAACAACATGCCACTGGAAGAAAAGATGGAAAATTAGCGAAGGAATACTAACGGAAAACCAAAGCCGAACAAGAAGAAATCTGGAAAATGACTTTCTACTTTAATGGCACATATCAGCAAGCCCCCCTTGATAAAATTTTGGCAATACACCCCCTGGACGCACTATAATTATATGATTAGGTTAGTATTAAAGCTTGGGACACAGTTGTATGGGAAGAAATATATAAAAAACACGATAAAACGAGTGTTTCTAAATAGACAGTAGCCTATAATTTACGCGAAAAAGTGCTTAGTATATGTTCCACAACTGTCAAGGTGTACTGAACTCGTGCAGACGTGTGCTTTAGCGCTTATATAATTTAGTGCTTACATCGTTTAATTTCGGAGAATAAAATCCACTGCTCACGCCACAGTTCAATTGCAGCGTTTTTGCTTTCATGCTTTCAAATAAATCAATATAAAGTTATAATCAACCCAATTTTATTCTTGGGAATATCCTTGACATGTGATAGTATCAATAACACTTGGTGAGCTCTCGGAAATTGTACTCACCGTATTCGTGTGAAAACACATTTCCTATCACAATTCGCTTTCCCAGTTCATGTCATGTGTCACGCACATTCGTAATTCGTCAACCGGCCAGGAATTCTCGTCAACTTTTATTCCCGTGTGATAATTATACGCCGTATAGCCCCACTAGATTTGGACTGTCGAAATAAATATACCAAAGTCAAAATCTATCAAAACTAATCATTAGTGTGCGATTCTTTAATTCTTGGTGCCCTGATTCCTGAACTCGCACATGAATATAGACATAACATAATCTCAAAAAAACCGAAAAATATTGAAATCACTCATTGTTAAAATTTGAATGCCGTGTGCACGAATTTTAGCCAGTGGGGATATAATGCAATTCAGTAAAATGCTAAATGCTTTGTGTTGCTAGAAAAGGGAACATGTCGAAGGTCATGGTGATTGAGATGCACATTTAAATATTGTTAAATATCCATATTTGTAAATTGTAAATATTGTTAGTAAAAATAATTAATATCATTTTCGCGTACGAGCAAATTTTACTGCATCATACGCATGATACAACATTTACACTCCTGTGGGTCCCAACTGAGTGCTTAGGCATTCAAACTCTAACAATTACATTGTTATGCGTGATTTCAAAGGTTTTCCTTTTTTTTGAGACACCCTGTATACGTATAGTCTCGCAATTATTGTATTCTGGTATTTTGCTTTCTATTGAAATTTCGGAATATATTTTTTCATTTCGAAATACACAAATTCATCAAGTATGACGAGCAGTTATTGAAGTAGCGAGAAATATTTAATAAGGGTAAATGGAGCATTGGAATAAAACTGTGCATATTTTATTAAAATAAGTACTGTTGAAGTAAACATGGTTTGTTCTAACAGCTCTCAAGAAGTTATTTCTGGTTCATATTCTTGTCACAAATGTGGAAGTGAGGTTCATGTGAACACATGTGGCACAACAATCAAACAAAATGTCTGTGCTGTTCTTACTTGCATCTGTACAGTTGCATCAGCACCGTTGTTACTTGCATCCGTAATGTTCTTACTTGCATCTATAGAGCTCCTACTTGCATTTGTACTAGACACGTATCTGAATTGTGCTTACTTGCCTCTGTACTGCCCTAACATATATTTCTGCCGCCTTTACTTTCATTTCTATTGTTCCTGTCTGCATCGCAAGTGTTTTTATTACCTGATTAAACGGCAATGATTGATTCTGTTTCGTCTTTATTTTAATTAACACAGTAATTAATTGCGATGTCACTTGTGTGCCACCGTAGTTACTTAATGTCAATGACAATGTTTTTCCTCAAATTTTGCCGAATTCAAGAATAAGCAATGTAATTTATAGTGCAGCAATTGGAAAGTATTTGAACAAATATATGCAAATTATTTACTGCAAATTGCATATTCCTCAAGACTCAAACAGGCTCCCAATTCAATAATGACACAATATCCTCATCGAACAAAAGTCTATCAAAAGACATATACAAAGATGTATAGTACTAGTGGACTAAGTAGAGAACCCAATTGACACAAGTATCAGCGAACACCTTGGCTCAGATTATGATTTACGATGATATATATACTTAGAAAGGAGAGCGGACTTATAAAGAAGAGAAGTGCTATGAATTTCAATTCCCATGAAATTCCAATTCCTATGAAACTCCAATTCCCAGATTCCCCGATTCCTGTATTTCGCAATTCTTGGATCTCACCACCTCGAGCGTATAAAAGGACATGCTGCTATTAGAGGCACACAGTGCTAACGCGCAGTAAACTTGATTTGTTCTTAGCTCTTTGACTGTATACGAAGGTAAAAATATCGTTCGTTCAGTTTCACAGAAATTGCAGAAATTGAAGCGCTAAATTCGTGGTCGTCACTGAAGTATCTCCAGAAAGGTACGTCAAAGGTATTCTAATTCTCAAAACCTTGGACTTTAAGCTTCTTTCAAATCTTTGAGGCTTCATGATCCTCGAAGTATAATGATCAAAAATTGCCATTGGTGAAGTTCGCATTCATGCTACTGCTGGTGAACTTGCAACTGAGTCATTCGTTTCTTGAACAGCAATTATATACACGAGAGCTAGCTTTATAGGTTTCACTTCAAGCACAAAATTCCTTTTGAGTTTCATTGGTTTTGTTTATTTGTTTCTAAAACCATTATTCGCATTTTAGCTCTTTGATTTACACGCTGAAATTAAACCGATCGCTGTTCGGTAACCACTAAGCTGCATAGTATTGAAATTGGAAGTATATATCTTCAGGTATGGCAATATTCAATAATGTGAATTAATTAAATGAAACATTGCTTTACACTTTGTATAGATGTAAAACGATCGTAGATTACAATTATATCTCTTTTCTCAAACTCTGGGAATTGAAACTAGTTGTATTGACTATACATGAATGATACATACGTAATAATATCATTATGTAATATGATGAGTTTATATTGATTTAAATTCGAAGTGATAAGTCGTGGATTTTCTCGGCAAAGCACACATTTGGAAAACTCACTGCTGAAGTAATAACTTATAGTTGTTCGTTTTTGCACAGCAATTATAGAGGCAATTAGAACGGCCTTGCAACTGAAGATTGAAGTAATTTTCACCAAAGTTTTGCATCTTTGTTGCATAGTTTCCAAAGGTCAATAATGTTGGGTTGAAGTTTGATTGTAATCGCATTATCGCTTATAATAATGATAATATATCGCATTATCGCTTATATACCTTGATAACTCTGCATATCAGAAAAACCGAATTCAATCATTGTTTTATGATACATTTGAAGAATAGTATTAACGAATGAAAAACCTTATTTTATAGTAACATCCAAAAATACATCAATTATTCATACATAAATACATTCAAATGACTACCGCTTGTCAACCACCGCAGGCTCACTTGCAGATAACTCAGTTTTCTGCTAGCAGATAACTGGATTTTGCGTGATTGCACGATTTATCTGTCAACTATTAGTCAATCAAATTGCTTTTACTACCATAATGTATAATTATATGAGTTATGAGAATGCGTACTTATCACGAATACGTGTCCCACATTTTTTCATGCTGTTCCCTTTTAAATGCGCCATTTTGAATCTTGCGAGGAGTGAGAAATCTTTCAAAAAAACTTTAGATTCAAAACTTAAATTTTGGGTAAAGGCATATCACACAGAGGCAAAAATGCCAAACCCAGCTCGGCATTAAGTTGCAGAACAGAAAAAAAATTAGAAAAACAGAAAAAGCGACAAGCGATAATCGAGAAAGAGTCGGTTTTCACCGTTGAGCACACAACTGACAAACCAACGGCCTATCACCATATATATTCATTGTTATGTAGGAACTATAGTTAGTAGAGAATAATGTTTATTGTAATAGGTTGTCAATTAGTATTGCCTAACGAATTTTTCAACTGTGCTTTGCCTTTGTTTTTTGAGGATTTTCTGTTTTTTTACATGCAACCGTTTGTTTACATAAATTGTTATTTGGCTTGAACTGATTATTTGCCCCATAACGTTGCTTTGATGCAACGATAAATGGTTAAAAACTTTTTGCCTAGCTACGAAAAACATATCACTATGTATAAATTTTTAAAAGGTTTTATTTCTGCATAAATAGTTGAAGCCGTGGGAAGAGAAATGACTATGACTATATTTTATTTCGCTTCTCGTGCATTTTGTGAATAAATAAGAACACATAAAACGAGTTTAATACAATCAAAAAGATCATTTAGCGTACCTCAGTACCAGAGGAGATCAAGTGTTAATTATGTACTCCACACTCTAAAAGTTATGTCTTGTCTTTGTGGAGGTAATTTTCATTTTTCACACAATAAAATACTGCGTTATAAAGTCGACAGCGAAGCAGGATTCCATTTTTTCCGTATTATGACTTATGTACGCTTGAAAAAAGATTGATCGAAAGCTGAGAACAGCTATCAGACTCCATCAGTCAATTCATGAAACAATGTAGTCAACAGGGCCGTAGCTAGACCGCTTAATTGGGGGGGTGTATATTCATATATTCATGTTTATATACCATAGAAACAATAGCATACAAAAGAAATCATTCGGGCATATGACGAATATATGAATATGCACCCCTCCAATTAAGCTTCTAGCTACGGCCCTGGTAGTCAAACAAAAACAAAAACAAAAACAAAAACAAGCTTTTCTCTCAAACTCACTCATATTCATATCTCGCTCATCGCGACCGGGCACCAAAAACTCCTCGCAGGAGTCTGAAACGGGGAAAAATGCCCTTATAAATCCGCCATCTTTGGAGACAAATTTTTATAAGGGAAAAGGTATCAGTACGCATTCTATGTCTATTATTTCTATGGTTATGAGTAAGGAACTAGGAAGTCACATGAGATATGCATGCGCAGATCGAGTATTCGCTATTGAAGCAGTTGTGATTGCACCCAATAAGGGTGGGTCTGTTATTTGTAATTTTTCTCACACAGTGTGTTGGGTGGTAGATTCCCTAGTTCCTCACTGATTACTCATAGAATCACAATCAAACTTCAACTTACACTTGCAGGTAAGCCTTAAATTCTATTTCGTCATCAGTCACGTCACTAGGGAGTCACATGAGACTTCAAAGCTGCGCAATCACAGCAAGTTTGGGAACAAGGATTTATTGTATAACTGTACAGAGTCAAAGTTTTTAAAATAGTAACAACTGGAAAAGAAACAATACCTTTCATTCTGACAATATATCAGTTTAAACATTAATTTGACCATAATTTAATAACGTTTTACCAAAGTTGGTGTCCTGCCAGTCCTGGTCAATAACGTTTTTTTTTAAACTTTGCAAAAGGTATTTTCACTTGACCATCCAGCACTAGCCATGATAATGTCTGAAGGTATATCTGACTTGCGTCTGCTGCTGTTGTGGCAGCAGCTCTGGTATTGGCAGTTTTAAAAATAGAAATATCCATATTTGCCTGTTGCAAGACCGTGTGTATATATTCCAGTAGGTGATCATGCAAGACACATAATTTTTTGTCCACCGGATAAGCCTTAAAACACAGTTTCAGTGGTTTGGAACCAGGTTTCGTGGTATTTTGTAGTTTGTTGAAATGGAAAACACAGTCATCGTCCCCAATTTTCATGTTGTTGTTGTCAATACTTGTGATTGCAAAGTCTGGCATCGCTGCCCGGTCAAGAGTGACTTTCAGTGATAGTTCTTCGACAATGTTGAACTGTTTTAGGAGGTTTAAGACGATGTTCATTTCCCGTATCTCATGGTTTTTGAGCAGAGTTGGTTTTTCGGTGAATACTCCTTTAAGGAGCGTCGAAACAAGGGGTGTGTACCAAAACTGAACTGACAGGACAAGTTTGTTATTAATGAAAGTGCACATCGTGCTATGCTGATGCAGCAATACCCAACACCCGTATCCAATGTCCCTTTAACTTAAGTAGCATGCATGCCCATAATTATATTGCCCGCATATTGCTTTTTTGCTCTGTGCGCCAAGAGTTTTGGATGACTTTTGAAGCTGTGTCCGAAAGCCCCTGCTTTTTCAGCGGAAGTGCCATATCATAAGACATGCAGAGCTTTGGATTCATGGGATGTATCTCGTTGGTTGGTTTGGAAGTGATAATAGCTCCTTGCTTTTTAAAAAGACACTTGGTTTTTGGACAATCATGTTCATTGCTTTTGGCCACCATATCTGTGTTGGCCAGTATGGGATCACTAGAATCCCTGAGGCTTGATCTTCTTGATCCCTGAGATTTGATTCTGGAAGCAAATAAGTCAATGTCAGGGGTGAAACTGAACATGTTACATGCCAAGGTAAGTATTTTTTTTATTAAGGCACCATTCAGTACCCCAGTTGAAAGACCGAGGCTGGAAATCTGCTGGATAGTTTTCTGTGCTTCGGTTCTTTTAAGTGACAGGAGTTTGTCGGTTGATTTGGCAAGAATAACTCCTGCTTTCGCCAGATTGGATTGGTTTGCGCTGGCACGAAGTCCAATTAACTGCTTTGCTGTGTGTTCTATATTCTCGCCCAGATTTCTGGGTCTACTCGTGGCCCCACAAGTCTGTTACAGTTGTCTGGCCGGGGGTTTGATCCCGTTTTTCTTTTCGAAACCATTCTCAATTTTTGACAACTCTTGCCCGAGTCGAGCGTTTCGAAAGCTCTCAGCCAAGTCGGCCTTTGATGACCCACAAAGTACCCATATGCATGTGTCTTCGTCACTGCTCTGGTTATCTTCCACTTCTTCAGGCTCAGGTGTCACTGAAGCCAGGCGTGATTTCTTTCGTTTCGCGAGAGGTGTTTTGTCTTCCTGTAGGCGTTTCAGCGACTTTTCCATGATCGTGCCCACCATTGTTTGTAAGGACTGGTTTAACTGTCGAAGAAAACTGCTTCATTTCGCCGATAAGTTATCAATTTCGTTGGGTCCATTGATGTCTGCATCGGCAAAAAGTTCGTCTTCCTCGGGTGCTTCAACAGTTTGTTTTTCTGAGTCGGAATTCTGTACTCGTGTAAAACTTGCAGTGGAATACTTTGAACGACGCGTGCAAGTGAATACTTGATCTTCGCATGCATATCCCATGTGACTTCCTAGTGACGTAACTGATGACGAAATAGAATTGCAAGTTGCTACTAACTACAATTAAAAAGTTGGCGTTTATTGACAAATTCAGGAATTTATATTTCATTTGTAAATATTAGTTACTAAAGTTAATGATGGCTGTTACAGTACTACCAGAAACTATATAATATTCATGCACTGAACGTTTATAACAAAAAATACAAATACGCGTCGGCGAAGTTGCTCTATCTATATGATATTGAGCTCTCGCTGCGGAAAGTCCAGCCTATATTTAAAATTACTTTTTCGCAAATCTTGCAGGAGTGAGGGAACCATATAAATATATAATACAGAATTCTGGTTCCTATTGTAGAAATATTGTTGTCATGCTAAAATAAGAATATCTACTGTAATCAAAGTAAAATTATGCATCAGGAAGTAACCATATATGAGCTGCACGGTCACAGACCTGTATATGGTATACCATTTGCTATAGAATTTTGCATTATTGATTTAATACATAAGGAAAATATCGCATTGGTCTTCCAGCAGGTATAAAGGCAGTTAGAACTTAGAACAAATATTATCAACGGCTGGTTGGTATCCGGCGACATACTCTTTATTCATAACTCAATTTTTCTGAATTTTCTAGCCCTTTTCTTAATTTTCTCATTTGCCTATCGAAAAGTAAAACTATTCAGCCTAGTTGGCAGATCAAGTAGCTAGTTTCCATCTAATCAATGGCCTAATCTAGCTCCTCTTGCAAATCAGTGCTGACTAGCGCAATGAACTTCTATGGGAAATTTATCCTTGCCCATGATGGAAGCAGAGTTGTCTTCTCTTGTTAATCATGCATGATTTCAAAGTCAACAAAACAATAGGATTGAACCGAAGAAGATTTGTGTTGGAAAAGCCGTTCCTATATTAGATTCTCCCAAAATAAAATGGTTCAAATTATAGTATAAGACCGTATGCCGGTTTTTATGGTATATAAGGTATAATAAGTATTCGCTTTTACAATGGTCTTTCAAGGCTGATTTACTTGTCCTCTTTGCGTGTTTTATTTTACTCATAATTTAGTCCATTGATATAATAAACAGAACTTTACGATAACAGGCGAGCCGTCTATAATTATATGATCAACGATTGCTCTTAAAAGTATTTTTGAAAACCCTGCCAAGCAGATCTCCTATCTCTATGCCATTCTTATAATTTGTGAAAATATGATTATTGTATTCGAGAGATCAAAGACTAGAAAATTCAAAATTCAAATAATACATATTAGTATATTGTCTTTTCTACGAATGGTAATATTTTCAGCCGGGTGAAGAAAATATGGATTAGCTAGGGCGACATGAAATATTTCAAATTTTGAGAGGTCATGCAGGGGCCGCAGAAGATCCTTAAGTGTGGGGGAGGGGGTTAGTATTCATATATTCACGCTCAGGATTAATAGTTTCTTCCAAAAACTTTACGGTCTGTTAACACGAATATATGGAATTTGGATCTTCTTCAGCTGTCCTTGCAGGGGCTTCAAGATTGCTTGCATATCCCGTATGTGATTTCTAAATTCTGTAAAAGCCCTGAGAATTTTGGCATGATAAACAATTTTCTCTCCTGCATGCCTGAAGTTCGTTCAGCCCATGCACCATGCAGTATTTTGAGCTCTCTACGGTTGTACCACGAAGCTACTGCTCTCTAAAGGAAATATTTCCATGTTTATACGACATATAATTTGAGTGTTTCTCAACACTCATAGAAAGACCCTGGGCCAGTCAGAACAAATCTACTGGACAGGATCCCAAATTCTTGGGCTGGCTCAGTTGCTGCAAAGTTACCTCGCAAAGAATAGACCTTTTAAAAACGTATGCAGCATTAACTTTAAATTGTTCTTCCATTGCAGAAAAATGGCAAAGATGATTTCTTGTGTTGGACGGCCATTCGGCTTGGGAATGCTTTACGATCGTCGCTCAGACAAGTTGATTCTTGGCAAAACGTTGTGGTCTCCCGACCATTTAAATGCTGCACTCGACACTATACTACAACCATTCACTAACTCCAAAGTGTTCACAGAAAACACAGTTGAAGATAAGACAAGTGCACTTGACATAGAAGCCAGCCTAAAGTTGAGTTTTCTGTCCGGGCTAGTTAATGTGGAAGGAGCTGCAAAGTATTTGAATGATACCAAAACGTCAAAGCATCAATGTCGTGTCGTTCTGAAATATGAAACAACAACGGAACTTAAACAGCTCACAATGGAACATTTAGGAAAAGGCAAAATCCAATATCCCGAGGTGTTTGATACTGATATGGCAACTGATGTGGTGGTTGGTATACTGTACGGAGCAAAAGCATTCATGGTATTTGACAAAGAAGTCTCAAAAAACGAATCTGTAAAAGAAGTACATGGAAACATGGATGTCTTGGTTAAATCTTTGGCAGGCATCTCTGTTGACGGACATGGGTCTGTTGATATCACCGAAGATCAAAAGAAGAACTCCGAAAACATGCGTTGCCAGATGTATGGAGATTTCCGCACCAACGAAAGTCCAACAAATTACGAAGATGCAGTGAAAATCTACAAACAGTTGCCTTCCCTGATCGGTGAGAACGGAGAAAAAGCAGTTCCAATTAAAGTGTATTTATGTCCATTGAGTGCAATCGACAGCAAATGTCAAAGAATGGTGAGAGAAATCAGTTCAAATCTAGTTAACAAGACTGCTGAAATCCAAGAGCACCTCCTGTCTGTTATCGCGATATGTAACGACCTGGCAAGGGAAGAAATATGTTTCCATTTTCCAAGATTAGGAAGACAACTTAAAGATTTTTTGAAAACGATAGAGTTGTACAAAGTCTTTTTACAGAAGAAAATACTGGCGGTTCTTCGACCCCAAATTCGAGGTGGAGGAGTTGAGGAAACTGCGTTGGCACAAATCATCCAAGAGAAGGAAATGTCACCTTTTTCTTCCAAGGCTCTTGAACATTGGCTTGACTGTAAAAAACAAGAAATGAAGAAGTTACAGGGAATAATTCGCTCAATAAAAGAAACTCCAGTCGTGAATCCAGAAGCTGTAGAGAATGAGCTCTATGATCCAGACATCAAGTTTATACTTTGTTGTACGTTCAAAATTGCGTGCGAGGAAGACGAACAAATTTTGAAAATGGATGCCTATGTGAATGACAGCGAAGTTGTTACGAAAAATATCATCAAAGTTGACGAAAAATCCACCTACAAAAAAGTGCGTGAAACGTTGAGACATCTCGTGATTTTAAAGTCAGTCAATAAAGAAGACAGTTCCATGAAAATCCTCGCAACAGATGAACCGCTTCCCCATGACTATGAAGGTGAAACCGGGGCTTTTCTTTACTTTTATGAAGACGGAGAAATTGAGAACGAGGATCTGATTTCACAACCCCCGCCCAACAACCTGAAAGAAGAAGAAGCAGGCGAAAATGAATTACGTATTTCCTGGAATGTTCAAGCTGGAAACGATATTACGCGTTACAAGGTTCAATACAAGGATGAAGCAAGCGGGGACACGTGGTCAAGTGTTGATGTTGAATCTAGCGACAAAGTTCGGCAAACGGTTATCCTTAAAGAACTTAAACCAGCTACAAAATACATCATCCGAATCTGTGCAGAACAAAAAATCAATGTCGGTGAATACAGTGAGGTATTATCCGCGAATACAAAGCCAGCAACCTCTCCTGATAGCTGCGATGGAGCTCGGGAAAGCAACAACAAACCTATCAGTGATCGAATCCCTGTCCCAAAACAACCGGCAACGTTCCGTCCGGAAAAAATCCTTGGTGTGTGCAAGCTTGTCGAGCCACCTCAAAAATGCAAACTTGCTGTCTACACTCTTCCTCTTACTCATGTATTTGAAGATCCTGATCTGAAATTACGTAAATATGAGATTGACTTGGAACCCAGAAAGTCTCGAATAGCAAGTGTACCAAATAAAGTTATAATGATGGTTGGATCAACTGGTTCAGGAAAAACGACAACAGTGAATGCTATGATCAATTATATTCTCGGAGTCGAGTGGGAAGATTCCTTTCGACTGAAATTGATTCATGAAGATTCTTCCAACCAAGGATCAGAGAGTATTGGAAAACAGACTTGCAGCCAGACGCAGTTTGTCACATGCTACACCTTGCCACATTTGAAAGGTTTTAAGGTTTGATCTCAATTTTTTCCATATTATTTATGTTGCATCTCTTCAAATTGGTAAATTTTGTAATAAGTATTAGTATAATTATAAAGGTGATTATTGAAAATTCGGGCTTCTGATAGGTCAATCGACCTCGGATTATTACGCGAGAATCACCCTAAGCGGTTTTTCAAAATGGCTGCGAGTTGTTTCTGTCAAAGTGACACATGAAGAAATACGTTATTTTGACGCAAATACTGTACCTAAAAGCGCAGAAGTGAAAAAATTAGGCATAAAGGTAAAAACGTCTTTGAATATGTAAAACTATAAAATATTTTTACACCGGATTTTTACAAGGATCAAGAACTCTTGAAATCTTTAAGTTAAATTTCGACAAACTTCACCCTCAAAGAAATTTTTCATACAACATATCTTGCATTGCCATTGCCAGAGTTGCGCAAAGTATAGAAATGACTTCTGTTTTGTTCGCCTTTGCAAGGCATGTTAAATGCTGCATGACTCGTAGTGCCACTTTTGTTTCGCAATGAAGTTTATGAGGCTGAAAATGAAGGCCCTTCTATAAAATGAAAGATGTCAGCATCACGCGAAAAAGTGACGAGAAATACATTGATATTATACCTTCGAATTCATAGGTTAGACTACCATAGAAAAATTAACGCACATCTGCAACCGAAAGTTTTCATACGTTTTGAAGCGCTGCACTCAAGTACTTAATGGTCATCATCAGTCTAATTAATGTTTTGCCGTGATTTTCCGTTTTCTATAGGTACCGTACACTCTTACTATTGTGGACACTCCTGGGTTTGGAGACACTAGAGGAATAAAACACGATAAAATCATAACGGAACAGGTTCGCAAGTTCTTCGAGACCAGTGGCGACGGGGGAATTGATCACATTGACGCCATTTGCTTTCTTGCCCAAGCCGGTAGTCCAAGACTTACACATACCCAACGTTATGTATTTGACAGCATTCTGTCCATGTTTGGCAAAGATATCCAAAAGAACATATCAGTTTTATTCACCTTTGCTGATGGCGATACGCCTCAGGCCTTACCATCCCTGCAAGAGGCCGGAATTCTCAGTAAAGAAGATACGTATTTCCCGCTGAATAACAGCGCACTCTTCGCTGACAACTCCGGAAGTAATGCTAATAAGGTATTTGCCTCGATGTTCTGGTCAATGGGAATGAACAGTTTTGAGACGTTTTTCAAATGTTTGAATACAATGAAAAGCAGAAGTCTTGTTCTAACGAAGGAGGTGTTGCAGGAGAGAGCGCAATTGGAAGTTCGAGTAAGTAGCTTGCAGGATAGGATGAACCGCGGAATAAACACTCTTAGCTGCCTTCAGCAGAAGGAGAGAATATTCAAACAGCATGCCAATGATATTAATGACAACAAGAGTTTTAAGTACACAGTGACGCAAGTAAAAAGAGTGAAAGTTCCCCTGCCATCCGGTACATACGTAACCAACTGTCCTCCTTGTAATAATACCTGCCACTACCCTTGTGGTATTCCAAGGAGCGAAGATAAAGATGGGTGTGCAGCCATGACAAATGGAAATTGCCAGGCATGTCGTGGTCGCTGTCACTGGTCGGTTCATGTAAATGACTCAGTTCGGATGGTGGATGAATACGAGGAAATCCCACAAGAGTATGATGGTAAGAAGGCGAAGTTGGAAGAAGCAGAGAAAGGGTATACAAAAGTCGAGGCAGAAATCAACCGTCTTAAAGCGGAATTTTCCGAAACAGAGGAGATTGTTCTTTCGTTTGTTGCGGAGATGCAACGTGGCTTACAAAGGCTATCAGAAATTGCCCTAAAAAAAGATCCCCTCCAAGAAGTCGAATATCTTGACCTTCTCATTCAATCAGAAGAATCACAAGGCAAACCAGGTTTCATGGATCGTGTGAAGTCCCTAAGAGATACTCGGGAGAAAGCTGAAAAAATTAATAGCATGGCGACACCTGACTATGATCCATGGAAACAATACCGAGAAAACAAAGAAACACAAAAGTTCCTTCGAAAAGAAAACGAAAGGCAGAAACCAGGATTAATGGAACGAGCTTACAACCTTGGAAAGGACTTGTTTGGGAAAAAGTAGATTCTCCCCTCAATGTCACCTCAAAAAGAATTATTAGCGTCTATTTTTATAGTTATAGTAGTTACAGTAGTTACTACATTAAGTAATTAAAAGTGTATCCTAGGCATGCTGATAAGCCCTAATATGGGGCGAGGCAGTTCAGCTGGTGATCTGAAGACTTAAGCCAGAAAACTTTTGCATGCAGTATTATTTCAACTTTTTTCAACTTATGCAATATTATTTGTTATAATCAACGCATTAGCCATCGTAAATGATATTATATTCAATAAAGCCATCGTAAATGATATTTACTTTATTCTATTCCATATAAATTAATTATACAAATAATCGTAGAGATGTTTTAAAGAACAGACATTAACAATGCCACTGGAACCGTGGACAGTGAACGAAGTCAGAAAGGCGTGTACCTTAAACGGTGGATGAGTCCAAGTTCATACATTTAAAAAACATCTTAACTAAAGTTTTCATGATATATTTTTGTAATTTTGCATGACGAACAGCAATATATGATTTATCTTGTGTGTTGTATTCCACGTATATAATTTTACTGATGCATGAAGTCAACGGACCGAAAGCTTTGAGGGAATCGAAATATATACGTATGTTATACCTATATACAGACGAATAATTATTCTTCGCATATAAATAAGGTAGAATTACACTATTTTAAAATAACCAATTTACTGATAGAGACACTACATGCACCTGCTATATATATTCAACCCGCGCTTACCCGCACCCATATTCACCGAGTGTGACACAAATTATGTGTCTACTAGTCAATGAGAGAGTATTTTCTCGCTAAAAGGCAAGATTGAGAGAAAAACATTGAAATCTTCCAGTCGAATGGGAATACCGTCATGCAATCAAGGGCGCGCATACAGAATATAAAAGTAAAATATGGTTACTAAAAACGGTAAAAACCTTTGATTGCTATTCATATCTATTATAGACCTATCAAGTATATATCGGATTTCACTGGACTGAACTAGATGCTTTCTTGGTTTTTTATAGGCAGTGTCAATTAAATCCTCAGAGGCCCGCGAAGCAAACAGCGGGGGGCTATATATTATAGTTCTAAATGTTAATCAGCTGCAGTTACTGTCTGACTTTTATTTCAGAGTTTAATATAAAGTGCGGGTAGAGCAATTCATTTGTCACATTCATTTGTTGTTAAACTGGCAGCCAAATAAATAACTGTTATTTAGCGGCTTATCAGTTGTTCATGGCATAGCATTTTGGTAAAAAAAATAAATAAGCGTCTGTAATCACATATACACCATTCATTACTCATAACGATAAAACAAGGTATCATTTGTGTGAGCCAGCAACCATCAGAACGTTAAAATATGAATGTAGGCGGATTTGACAGGGAATTGAATTAAGCTCATATTCAATACGAAAATTTAAATATGCATAACCATTCATTATCGTCTAAAGGCATTCAACGTCAAGCAATAAACGTACAATAGCGTGAATATGCTGGCCATTGAAATCTAGAGAATATACATCAAAGTAAAAAATAATTCATTCTATTCAAATCGTTGTTCAATAAAATTTTTAAACACCAAAGGAGTGTCAATAAAATGAATGTATAATCATTACAATGGTGTAAATTACCAATTGTGTGATCGTACTAACAATAGAATTCATATCAAATTCATTAAACACAAATATCTTCTCAAGTTAACACTACAAAATATAGCTACAAAGATGTGGTGAAAAATTTTTAAAATTCAATCAGTAGACACGTGCAAGGGATCCGTGCTTTGTTTAAACAGTACGTAAGCATTCCGCAGACGAACATATAAAGACGTGTCAGGTCTTCTGTGTAGGTGATAGAGTCAGTACAAAGTGTACACTGTATGGAGACGTGGAAATGTTCAGGCGAAATAGAATCTCACAACAAGACAGGCATCGAATCGTACAAGCCTTTGAAAATGAAGACGAAGACTATTTACTCGTTGCAGATACATTAGGAGTTAACCCGTCGACGGCGGGAGGGATTGTCGCGCGTTTCATCCGAGAAGGACGAATCCATGAGTTTCCACGGGGCGGCAGAAACAACATCCGCGTAGACGAAGAAATGCGAGAGCGTCTTGAGCAAATTATCAACGAAAATTGTGTTCTAACATTTGTGCACATCAATAGAGAATTACGAAGACGTCTCCCACACAAACCCGAAATCCATGAAAGTACAGTTGCACGAACTCTGAATGGGATGTTGTTCACACTAAAACTGGTGCGACGTGTGCCAACCGAAAGAAATAGACCTGATGTGATTGTAAAGCGTAGAGAATATGCAGAATGGTTCATGAACCATGCTATCCTGCGCAACTGTGTGTTTATCGATGAATGCGGATACAACGTTTGGACCGCCCGTAGTCATGGTAGAGCTAGAGTGGGTGAAAGAGCGTATCGCCATGCAGGTTTGTGGACAGCGTGGACGAAACATGACAGTGGCCTTAGCTGTATCCGCCAATGGTGGCTTGGTGTTTCACACGGCATTTCTTGGAGGAATGAACCGTGAACGCTTTGCTGATTTCCTTACACAAACACGCCTTAATCTTGATCCTGGTGAGGAAGTAATCTTTATATATGACGGCGCACCAGCACACAACAATCCACCTGTCCCTGCTCCTAATACCGAGTTATGGAAACTTCCTCCATACAGTCCATTCCTAAACATTGTGGAGCAAGCAATAAGCGCCCTTAAAGCAGCAATAAAAGCAGACATTTCCCGCCCCGAAATTCAGCGTTTGATGGGTGATAGGGCCGCGGCAAGAAATCAACGACTACCTTTGGGAGAGTTCCGCACCCATCTCCTCTTAGATGCCCTTAATAGAAACATCGGTACAATAACTGCAGCAAAGTGCGGGCAATGGTACCGTTACATGCAGACGTACATTCCACGCTGTTTAAACGGAGAGGTCATCGACGGTTGAACGATAAATTGGGTCTTTTACTGCTGGATATTTTGCCATATTTCGTAGTGTTAACTTGAAAAGATATTTGTGTTTAATGAATTCGATATGATTTCTATTGTTAGTACGATCACACAATTGGTAATTAACACCATTGTAATGATTATACATTCACTTTATTGACATCCCCTTGGTGTTTAAAAATTTTAATGAACAACGATTTGATTAGAATGAATTATTTTTTACTTTGATGTACAGGGTGTATCAAAAAAAACGCAACCACTTAATATTCATGAATATCCTCTTTGTCCTACAACACAAAAGACGTTTGGCCTCTGGAATGCGAGAAAGCTTGTAATCATATTCTAGCGGCACAATCGTCGGTAAACAAAGTCGGGTGCGTAAACCAACGAGCTGAATTGAAAGTATTTAACGAGTAAAATTTTATTTACAATTTATTTTACAAGGTCGACATTTAGCATTCAAGTTATCATGCACGACAATAAAAACTCGCTGTTCGGTTGTTAGCTGCACCATTATTAGTTTAGCTGATTTGACCATTAGCAGTTGAACTGTACGATTAGAAGCTATTTTAAAATCCCAGGGGCATAAAATCTATTGAGCTTACGAACAATATGAATTTTAGAATATTAAGTGGTTGCGTTTTTTTTGATACACCCTGTACAGGGTGACCACTGACCACGAGTCTTGTTCTTACGTGCCAGAAATGAAAATTCATGTAAGTGAATTGCTGGGAGTATCTTCAAACAACATGCCACTGGAAGAAAAGATGGAAAATTAGCGAAGGAATACTAACGAAAAACCAAAGCCGAACAAGAGAAATCTGAAAAATGACTTTTTTACTTTGATGGCACTTATCAACAAGCCCCCCTTGATAAAATTTTGGCAATACACCCCCTGGACGCACTATATATGATTAGGTTAGGATTAAAGCTTGGGACACAGTTGTATGGCACCTGGGAAGAAATATATATAAAACGCGATAAAACGAGTGTTTCTAAATAGGCAGTAGCCTATAAGTCTGAGTGTTTATTTATCGGCGGCGAAAAAGTGCTTATATGTTCCTCAACCGTCAAGGTGTACTGAACTCGTGCAGACGTGTGCTTTAGCGCTTAATCTCGGAGTATAAAATCCACTGCTCACGCCACAATTTAATTGCAGCGTTTTTACTTTCATGCTTTCAATTAAATCAATATTATAAAGTTATAATCAATCCAATTTTATTCTTGGTAAATGTATTTATTTTAATTGATCCATACTTCCGTCTCTCGTGACAATTAAATTATCTTGGCCTTTGAGTATAAACTGTTCCCTTTCACTCAGTAAAATCAGGGAAAACATTAGAGCCAGTTGTGTTGTAAATGTTGTAAAGCTGGTTCACGAATCACGAATGCGCTGTTACACATGACATGAACTGGGAAAGCAAATTGTGATAGGAAATGTGTTTTCGCACGAATACGGTGAGTACAATTTCCGAGAGCTCACCAAGTGTTATCGATAGGCTACTATTACATGTCAAGGACTTTCCCAGGAATTCTTGTTAACTTTCATTCTCGTGTGATAATTATACGCTGTATAGCTCAAATCAGTAGCAATGCTGATTAGTTTTGATAGATTTGGACGGTGGAAATAAATATACCCAAGTCAAAATCTATCAAAACTAATCAGCACTGCTACTAACCATTGGCATTGCCCAAAGGCAAACGAAGATGTTGTGACAAGCGATTCGCTTATTCCGGTTATAGTGAAAACGGGGCTCACATTCGAATAATTTCACTGGAAAGAACTTGCACTTCACACGAACATCCATTCTATTAAAATTTTGCTTTTTTTAATACGGAGGATTTTTCAGAAAAAGATTTCTCAGAATTAGTGTGCGATTCTTTAATTCTTGGTGCCATGATTCCTGAACTCGCACATGAATATAGACATAATATAATCTATATATAGCATGCCTCAAAAAAACGAAAACTATTGAAATCACACATTGTTAAAATTTGAATGCCGTGTTCACGAATTTTAGTCTCTGGGGATTTATAATATGCTAAATACGAAAAGTTTGAAATTGTGAACATGATTTAAAAACTTAAATGAGCCTTGTTATTGCTTCGAAAGAAAATGGTACACCTGACCGCGGAACAACGAGTGTCTATTGTGATAAATTATATACGTATATCAAAGGCAAAGTTCAACGGAAGTGCGAAACCCTTTTCGACAAAGGTCGACAATGGTCTAGATATATATAGTCTCTCAATTATTGTATATTTGTATTCTGGTATTCTGCTTTCTATTGAAATTTCGGAATACATTTTTTCATTTCGAAATACACAAATTCATCAAGTATGACGAGCAGTTATTGAAGTAGCGAGAAATATTTAATAAGGGTAAATGGAGCATTGCCAGAATAAAACTGTCAAAGAAAATTAGGAACTTTACTATGCATATGGTATATACGACATATATCAATTTCTCAATGACAATGTTTTTCTCAAATTTTGCCGAATTCAAGAATGAGCAATGTAATTTATAGTGGAGCAATTGGAAAGTATTTGAACAAATATATGCAAATTATTTATTGCAATTTGCATATTCTTCAAAACTCAAACAGGCCTCCAAT